GGCAGAAAAAGGGCCGAACTTCACCCTAGCCAAGTCCCACGAAGACCTCGACGATTTGCCAAGCTGAAGTCCATCAGTAAAACTCTGTACACAGGAGTTAATAGGGAAAAAAATGAAAGGTGCACAGATATACATACTCTCAGTCGTAAAAGCACTATTGTTTTGAACGCCAAATTTGTCTGGGAATTGATGATGGGTTTTGGTCTGCGAGTCGGTGAACTTTTGTTGAACCGGCACAGGGTCAACAAGAGTTGTCTGGGAGTGACTAAACTACCTAACCTGGGAAAGCGATACGAGATAACCTTAAAGTGGGTTCCCGGGTAGGCATAGAAGGAAATGAACAGGTTGACCAACTAGCAAAAAAAAGGGCAACTCTGTTACCGTGGGACCAGAACCACGACTACATGGACTGGAGTGTGTGCTTTAGTTTGAACTGGAAAAATGGAGTGAGAAAGAAAAACTCAAACATTGGACAAACACATCAGGTATGAGGCAAGGTTAAAGATTTATAATGTTACCCGACGAAAAACCAAACTCTGATTTCCGTAAGGTTGCACACCCTACCAAAACTTGGCAAGGCGTTGGGTCGCATCGGGTAGCGTCACATGGCGTAGCATCGGGTAAGTGTGTTTCCGGCTTCCTCTCAGCCTTGCCTCGTTGCTCTCAGCTTCTTAAGATGATAATCAAGAGGGCAGTGGCCGGTCTAGAGGCTTATAATTCTTCTCAAATCCTGCCTGCTGAGAGAGAGAGAGAGAGAGAGAGAGAGAGAGAGAGAGAGAGAGAGGAATTCCTCGCTTTCTCATTCGAGATAATTGTAAATCTTTTACCTTGCCTCATACCTGGAGTGTTTGTTGAAAATGAAAGTTGCACAGATATATATAGTCTCNGAGAGAGAGAGAGAGAGAGAGAGAGAGAGAGAGAGGAATTCCTCGCTTTCTCATTCGAGATAATTATAAATCTTTTACCTTGCCTCATACCTGGAGTGTTTGTCCAATGTTTGAGTTTTTTTTCTCATTCCATTTTTCCAGTTCAAACTGAAGCCCACACTCTAGTGCATGTAGTCGTGGTTCTGATCCCATGGGAGAGAGAGTTGCCCCCTTTTTTTGGCTAGTTGGTCAACCTGTTCATTTCCTTTTATGCCTTCGTACCCAGGATCCCACTTTAAGGTTATCTCGTATTGCTTTCCCTGCTTGCTTTTTTCACTCCCAGACAACTCTGCCGGTTCAACATAAGTTCGACTACTCGCAGACCAAAACCCATCATCAATTCCCAGACAAATTTGGCGTTCAAAACAATAGCATTTAGTGCTTTTATGACTGTCTGAGAATATGTATATCTGTGCAACTTTCATTTTCAACAAACACTCCAGGTATGAGGCAAGGTAAAAGATTTACAATTATCTCGAATAGGAAAGCGAGGAATTCCTCTCTCTCTCTCTCAGCCGGCAGGATTTGAGAAGAATTATAAGCTTCTTTAACGGCCACGGCCCTCTTGATTATCACCTTAAGAAGATGGGCAAGACTGAGACGGAAACCGGCTCGTTAAGTCGGAAACACACTTACCCGATGCTACCCGACGCAAATCCAAACTCCCATTTCCATAAGGTTGCACACCCTACCAAAACATGGCAGGGCGTCGGGTCGCATCGGGTAGCGTCGCATGGCGTTGCATCGGGAGTGTTCCCGGCTTTTTGAGGAACCAGAGACATGGGCACATAGCCTTTGAGAATGTAAAGCATTAGTCTGTTTAAGGCACAGCAACTTGGGCAGGACATTTCTCATACCAAAATCCAAAAATAGTCACATAAAGACCACTACTTTTTAATAACGTCAAATGTAATGTATTTTTTAAAAACGTAATTAATTAATGGGAAGTTAGTGCCCGAGTGGATCGAAGTCACGATAGCTCTAATGGTAGATTAGCGGGGTATCTAGCGGAAGGTCGTGGGTTCGAATCCCGCTCGTGACACTGTCTTTTTTATCTCAACTAAAACCTTAATTGAAAGATATTAATTGGTCATGCGGACCACGAAAACTAGTGAATTTAATGAGTGATGAGTTTGTAAAAACGAAGGTATTAAACAATTTGAACCACAAATCAAAATTTTTGTTGACCTATAAAACGGTTTTATTTAAACTTAAAGTCCATTGAAAGTAAAGAAACACATATTATTTTGAATTAACATAACGAACGATGGTTTAATATTTCTAGCTCTCCTTCAGATTAACATATATTTTTAAAAGCCCAAGTATTGAATTCGTTAATCACACTCACGGCCGATTATTTTCCAATTATAAACAGTTTAAGATTAAGGTCTTGGACTTAATGAATATTTGAAGAAGGGCGCGGTAGAATAATAATAAGAAAAAAGATATGTGCGAAGTTACAATAAAGGTACATTAGTGTAATCGATTCCCCCGAATATACTAACCAACTGGTATGCATAATAATCTAGAAATTATGTTTTACATTAAGATAAATTCGGTTGGATGTAAAAAAAAATTCAAAATTAATCGCGCTAACATGTCAAAAGGCCCTTTTAAAATTTAAATTGATGTTGGTAAGACCCCTTTCATTATGAGCATTTATCCTTTCATGAAATGATTGATTTGCCTTGGAATATCGTTATTATTTTTGTTGTTGATATGAGTTACTGCTACCTAGAAACCTACGAATTTATCGCCTTTGTTATAAATTATCTCGTGATTTCAGGTTATAACTTTCAAATCAAACCTTGATGTTACCCCACAATGTCCTCGGTCAATGAGTTTTTGTGTATAAAAAATAATTTAGTATTTTAACGAATGTAATAATATATTTAAATTATTAACGTGTTTTTTTGGGCTGGGACATTTTTGTTTAAATTTGAACAAATGAAAAACATGTTAGAACTTGACATAAAGGTAGAGTATTTTGACTTTCATATTAATTGACTCGTTAATTAATATTATATTAATTCTACTTATCTTCGTTGATAGAATTTATTCAAAATATCAATAGAAAATGTAATAAATTATATATTTAATATATGAGTAAAATAATTCGGTTAGAAAAGTATTTCAAGAACCAATAGTTACTAGCTTTTTGTAAAATAATTATTAATAAATTTTAATACATTATGCATTGTATATGCACATAATTCAGTAGATTCATATGTGAATCATCGTGACAAAACTGAATTGCTTCAATTAATTATTCTATTTATGTAAGGTCTTGGCTGAGATGAAAAGCCGAAGGTCGTGGGTTCGAATCCCGATCGCGACACCAACTTCTAACTTTTTCATCTCCTTACATAAAAAGAAGAATTAATNATATACATACATCTTCCTATCAACTGGGCGTCCCCTTAAAGAAATTACTCTTTTCTTCTTTTTTTAAGAGGGTTCGCAACAGCAGAGGTTATATCAACCCTCGGTGTGCCGGTGTTTTTGAAATGCAGGGCCGCCGAATTCGAACCCGGGACCTTTACCTTACAGTGATGAGCGCCGTGTCAACGCCTAAACCGTTGCGGACACCGACCCCCCTGTAATGTATTATTGTTTGCAATTTTGTGAATTGTTGATAATGGCGAAATAATGATCGAAATTTTGGCAATAAAGCGCATCTGATGTTGTTTTAATTTTTGTCCCCATCATTTCGAACGATAAATAGTATTTTTGGTTCGAAATGAAAATAAGTTTAAACAACCTAGTGGAAGGAAGAGAATACGTGGTTAGTATGTTGTGTATGAATCAATTCTCAAACTTGTCAATCATTCCCTCTCAAATATTGTTTAGTTTTAGTTTTAGTTTAATTTCCCGCACGCTTTAAACAATGCTGTGATCAAATAATGGAACCACAATATAACAAATAATAGAAAATTAATAACAGTTGTGGTGAACTTAGCATCCCTCATCGCAAAAGGCAAAATAAACAAATAATAATAAAACTATGTGGAAATTCTGACCCATAAAGCCTTTTTGGGTGTCTAGGATGAGGGGATCAGACTACTTGACAATATTTTCTTTCATGATAAATAAGAAAAAAGTTTCATCGGATTGTCATTATTTTTCCAACAAATTAGGAAAACGAAAAAATCTCTGGAAATTACTGCCCATTAATGCTGAATTGCGTTGAATTAAAAATATTGAACATATTTTAACATAGGGGTAAACAAGAGTGTTGAGCGGTTTTGTTCGTGTCCAAACAATATTCATCCGGGCTTAAATGAAGCAGTGAGGTGGCGGGGAATTCCACAACGAAGCCCCTAGCCAGGGAATCCCGTGTGGGCTTTTAACGGTTGTAAATTTTAGACCGACTTCTCTGACGTCAATTATCTTTCCATTCGGCTGTTCCAAAACATAAATGCTTTAGAAAAACGCAATAAATAAATTGATGATTTATTGCAGGCAATACGGAGGAAGCACAACTTGAATCGGCTTACGCTTCCAACGAAATAAAATAAAACGCCAAGGCTATGAACATACAATTTGCGTACAAAGTGTGAAAAACAATGTGATAGGTCGTATAAAATAAGAGGTATTCGTAACGCTTTTATCGACCAACAGGCATGTGCAGACTAAAACATTTCAAAAGTTTGAAGAATTGTTAGGAATCAATTACTTTTAACGGTGGAAAATTGAAACATTTGAATTAAGTACCTTCCCTTACGAAATACGTTTTTTTAGAAGAAAGACCTCAGACCTGCAAAATCGTTTAAAATCAGGCTTTTTTTTCGGCTGTAAATGCAATTTTTTTTGCGTGATCATTTTCGCGACAACGATTTCAGAGCGTGTAGGTTTGATTTTATTAGGAATGGTTAGGTTAGGTAGGGTTACGGTTAAGGTTAACATTAGTATTTGACAATTAATTAAGGTTTTTAGTTGAGATAAAAAAGTCAATGGCACGAGCGGGATTCGAAGAAAAACCTTAATTAATAGTAATATATTAATTGGTCAAGCGGACCACGAAATTAGTGAAACTAGTATTTGAATTAAATACCTTTTCTCTTTATAGAGAAGCCGTAACCTTTCTTTGCATAAGAAAGATTTTCAAAACAAGGTTCTATGTTCCATATAGACTTCAGGCCTGCAAAAACATTTAAAATCTGTCAAAATTTGTTTTTCGGTTAAATATACAATTTTTGCTTGATCATTTTCGCGTCATCGATTTAGAGGAAGCGCATAGGTTTGATTATATTAGGAATGGTTAGGTTAGGTAGGGTTACGGTTAAGGTTAACATTAGTATTTGACAATTAATTAAGGTTTTTAGTTGAGATAAAAAAGTCAATGGCACGAGCGGGATTCGAAGAAAAACCTTAATTAATAGTAATATATTAATTGGTCAAGCGGACCACGAAATTAGTGAAACTAGTATTTGAATTAAATACCTTTCCTCTTTATAGAGAAGCCGTATAACCTTTCTTTGCATAAGAAAGATTTTCAAAACAAGGTTCTATGTTCCATATAGACTTCAGGCCTGCAAAAACATTTAAAATCTGTCAAAATTTGTTTTTCGGTTAAATATACAATTTTTGCTTGATCATTTTCGCGTCATCGATTTAGAGGAAGCGCATAGGTTTGATTATTTTAGGAATGGTTAGGTTAGGTAGGGTTAGGGTTAAGGTTAACATTAGTATTTGAATTAAATACCTTTCCTCTTTATAGAGAAGCCGTATAACCTTTCTTTACATAAGAAAAATTAAAAAAAAAATGTTCCATATTCCGTCTAAACTTTCAAAAACTGGAAAAATAGACCTGCAAAAACTTTTAATATCGGTCAAAATTTGTTTGTCCGTTTAATATACAATTCTCGCGCCATCGATTTCAGGGAGTGATGATTTTTTTTTTTTTTATTAAGCAAGAAAGTTATAACAAGCTGGGCACACGTGTTTTAAAATAATATTTAAATTATTAATATTTAAATAATTAAATTTTATAAATTTATTTTTTTATAATATTTAAATAATTATTTTAAACACGTTGTAATTAAATTAAGAAAAACTTTAACAACAACTTAAAAAAAAAATCAACAATTTTAATTATTTCACTTTTTTAATCTTTCTTGTTCCTGTTCTTCTTTTAGCTTTTTGAGTCGGACTATCATAAGCCTCATCTGGCTTGATAACTTTTCATATGTATTTCAGATTCTACAGCAAAACCCGTCTCTTTATACTTGCAAATTTGGTAGGGATTATCTTTTAATCCTAGATATTAGGGGTTTTATCAAATAAATCAAAATATTTATGAATAATTGACTTTCAAATATTGGTCTGAACTAGTTTTTGACCCAGCATGGAATTTTTAAGGGCTCAGTTCTGGCGTAAGTTTAAAACGTATTGTTAAACATTATTGTATATCAATTAATGAATATTATATAATATTGAATTAGTTTAAAAAAATAATAAAAGAACTCGAAATTTGATATATTATCGTCGCTTTACTAACAGTCTGTGCATGTTGACAACATTTGGGTGGGCAGGTGTTAGCACAGAAATGTTGAACTTGTATGGAAAAAACCTACATATCAAAGATGAGAAACCATTTTGACCGGCATTCGAGTCAGCACGACGCGGTGAGATTTGCTCTTGACCCAAATACAAGGTGAACGGGGGAATAACACAACGTAGAATTTAGGAAAACCTTCCAGCCCTGGAAGGAGAGGATGGCCTCTCCTTTCGACACGTCGGCGCTCTAATATCCAAGAGATAAAACATTCGGAGAATACTAATAATCTGCATTATTATATCTTGTTTTCTTATAGCCGAAAGCATTATTTTCTATTGAACCGATATTCTCAAATAAATATGAAAATAATTTTTATACCGGTATTCTATAGATTGATTTAACTCGGGGAAAATAAATCTTCGCCGTCATTGAAAAATTCGATGTTTTTTTTTTGTAATTTCATCTTCTTATAATTACATCTTACATAAATAACAATCAGAGATCTACGACCGTGGTGAGAATGGGGAGAGGCTTAAAAGACGATTTGTCTCAAAAGGACGCGAGATATAGTCGCCTAATAGCTATAGAGACCTTTATCCGATATATCACTTTAATTAATTTCCTCATAACGTGTCACCGGTCGTAATTTATTCCTTGATTCTCAACCATCTCTAATCACAATAGTTTCGTAGTCCTTCGTACCAATGGCATTCGGCATTTTTTTAAGGTCGCTCATTCTCGAAGCTATTCCGAAATTAAATATTACCATTTGAAACACGCGAAACGTGTCAATTTTGGACTTAGATTTACAAAATAATCAATAATGCTATTCGTGATCTTTCTTTCGTGATACACGCTTCCATGCTTATAGTTATGAATACCATGTGTTTCAAGTCATGTAAATTACATTTACTTAACTGCTTGTAATTATATATTATCTACCGCCTTAATGATTTTAGAGTTAGTAAGTACATTACTTAACGCAATAGTCACGTGAACAATAATTAAAAAACAAAAACAATTCAAGTTCTAATCTTCAGTCATTCTTATGTATATAAAAATGATCAAAAATGTCAATAAGCCAAAACACGCCTGGTAGACAAAAAAAAAACAAATCTGTGGGACTAGGGTGATCGGATACGTGCAAAAAGCACGTACACAACACTCCAGGATCAACAGGATCTGTTCAATTCAGATAGTTCAACGAACCCAAAAAACCAGATGCAGACATTCAACCAATTTGGAAGGATCGGACCAAAAATTCTCTTAGAAGTAAAACAAAACAAGTTATTTTAAAGCGAATTGTTTTGAACAATCATGCTGGTATTTTTTTCGATAAAACACACCTTAAAAGTGAAATATCGAAAAAAAGTATTTCCCACAAATCCACCGCTGAAGAACATAAAAAAATCAGCGATTTTAGGCAGCCTAAAGTGATAGAAAACAACCAAGCAGCACAATAACACAAAATCCAGCAAGAAATTTCTTAAATTCAGATACAGATGTTCAAAGAGTTTGTCGGAAAGCATCTGTTCAAAAGTTCGCTAAAAAGCTAATTTTTTTTTGTTTATTAAACGAAAAGTGTTTTGAAGTTTTTGTCAGAAGGTTTTACCTGATCATTGTTGATGTGTTTATGACAAAACACACCTTTGTCGAGATAGCGACAATAATGTCAACAAATCGCACAAACCTACCGCCCAAGATGGTCCAAAAGCTAAAAACACGCCCGATAGATCAAAAAATCAGCCATTTTAGGCAGCCTAAAGTGATAGAAAACGACCAAGCAGCACGCAAACAACTCTGCAAAATCCAGCAAGAAATTTCTTAAATTCACATACAGATGTTCAAAGAATTTGGCAGAAAGCTTCAAAAGTTTACCAAAAAGATAAATATATTTTTTTTTATTAAACGAAAAGTGTTTTGACGATTTGTCAGCAGCTTTTACCTGATCATTGTTGATGTATTTATGACAAAACACACCTTTGTCGAGATAGCGACAATAATGGAAACAAATCGCACAAACCTACCGCTTAAGATGGTCAAAAAGCTAAAAACACGCCCGATAGACCAAAAAATCAGCCATTTAGTATTACCAGAATGAGCGGAGGCGACCAAACTGTCCGTAAACGGCATATTGTCAGAAGAATCCAACAAGAAATTACTTAAATTCAGATAGAGATGTTCAAAGGATATGGCGGAAAGCTTCAAAAGTTCACAAAAATCTAAATATATTTTTTTTATTAAATGAAAAGTGTTTTGAAGATTTGTCAGCAGGTTTTACCTGATTTTAGGATGACCAGGTTGAGCGGAGATGACCAAACTGTCCTTACATGACTTATTGTCAGAAGAATCCAACAAGAAGTTAAATTCGTATCGTTCTACAAACGTAAAACCAGGTGCACACATCCAATGAATTTGGCGGGAAGCACCGGCCAAAAATTTTCCTACAAGCAAAAAAAATTTTTTTTTAATGCGAATCGTTTTGAACTTTTTTCAACAGGTCGTGCCTGTTCATTGGGATATGAATATATTTTTGATAAAACCCAACTTTGTGGATTAAACGTAAGTTTTATCTTACTAATTAGCATACAAAAGACCGAACAATATGCATTTTCTTCTGCCAGGTTGCCAGAAAATTTACGTAATGCATAGTTTGACAATTTGTTGTTAATAATATATTAATAGTGCATTTTTTGTAACATAAATGGATAAAATCCCATTTATTTTCTGGCAAATAAAATAAGTAAAATAAAAAATTAATACCCGGAGTGTTAATGGTTGGAACTCATGTTGAACCGACGCTGTGTTACTATTGGAACTATCCACGCTCGTGTTTTTGATGTTGATGAAACGCGTTTCGCCTTATCGTCATCTTCAGTGAGGAACGTTTCACAAACTTTTTGTCAAATGTTCTTCACTGATCATTGCAAAACGCGTTTGCCAAATATCAAAAACCCGATTGTAGACCGATCTAGTGCCGGTTCAACATCAGTACTTCAATTAATTAAGGTTTTTAGCTAAGATAAAAAGTCAGTGTGACGAGCTCGGGACATTTGAAAAATGCCAAAAAGGAGGGAAAATTCAAAAAGGTGGGGTTGAGATGGGAAGTTAGTGTCCGAGTGGATCGAGGTCACGAAAGCTCAAGTGGTAGAGCAGCGGCGTATCAAGCCGAAGATCATGGGTTCGAATCCCGCTTGTGACACTGGCTTTTTTATCTTAACCAATATCTTAAATACAGATTAATTAATTAAAAGATTTGGTCAAGCGGAGCACGAAAACTAGTGAATATATCAGTACATTATTTTGGCAAAACACATCTACTATTAATAATGAAAATATCAACATTTAAATGGATCAATTATAAGATTATTATTTTTCGAAAAGTGCTTTCAAAGCTTGTCCTTAAAAAAATTAAACGCCCGCTAAAGATAATTTATCCAAAGGCCCATCTTTGCGTCATATTGTAAGGTTGGGTCTGACTTTTGTCATTCAGCTATGTAAATTGGATTAATTTTATTTTAATTCCAGTTAGAAGTATAAGGAAAGAAAGCGAACGACGAGGTGAACGTTTTAATGAATTACGCCGTCATGGATGTTAAAATATGCTCAAGGCAAAGGATAAAAGTAGTTCGTAGCAGCCTCGTCACTATGGTACATTTTTAATAAATCCTTTCCAAATTGGTGTATCGTACTTGATTATAATTTAAAAAAACGACTGTTTAGATAGGCGTTTAATTTTATAGGTCGTTGTTGATTAAATGTTTAATTCATTCGGTCAGACAAATAATGAAAATTATGACACAAACTGTTAAGCTGACAAGAAGAATAATTTTTTAAAGAATTAAATTTTGAATATGTTTTCTTTACACTTTAATCTCTGACGAAGTCTATTTGATATGTAAATAAACCACACAAAGCACAAATGTAATAATATTTTATCTGTACTTAAGATGTACAAAAGTCAAATTCATAACTGCCCGTTTGAAAATGGATAAGTTTTCTGGGTTACTCAAACTTCTTTTGCGTCAACATTTTCCCCGTTACTTGGAAGTGAGAATGGATTGGGTAAATGGAAAGGTTTGGCTTGATCAGAGTTAGGGTTATGGACGTGTAATGTTAGGTTAGGCAGTGTTAGGGATTGGTTTTAGGTATGTATCCCTTCTTTTACGAGGCGGGTATTGTCCACAACTAAAAAGTACTTTACTACTATTAACAAGCACAGTAATTCAGTAATTACAAATTAACCTGTCCCAGTGAACTCAAAAATGTTATTGTCAAACTAAAAAATAATAAGTCCCCATGTATAGATGGTGTAAGCCCTAAATTCATAAAAAAACATTTCTAAAGCTAAAGCTTAATACACTTCACCAAAATAATTAATTACATATTAATATATGGTTATTTCCCCAAAATTTGGAAATACAGTAAAATAATTGTGCTACCTAAACCTGGTAGACTTGTTTCAGGTGAGTAGCTACTGGCCCATCTCAATTCTTCCTTGTCTTGGAATCACAGCAGGTCACATCACAGCACCACAACACAATTGGCGAGGGTCACAGATATTATTGAGCACAATTTTAATTTGAACAAGCACACTGGGATGGCACTGGTTGATGTTGAAAAAGCGTTCGACTGCGTGTGGCACAATGGGCTTCTCTTTAAGTTAATCAGTTATAACTTTCCCAAATACATCGTTTATTTAATAAGGAGTTATCTGGAAGATAGGAAATTTTGTGTCTTGCTTAACAACGTAAGCACTGACTTTCGGCCAATTGCTGCTGGTGTGCCCCAAGGCTCTGTCCTTGGGCCCACATTGTTCAATTTATTTATTAATGGTATAACCGAACTAAAAGTTAAGCCAAAGTGTGCCCTATATGCTGATGACTCCGCTTTTATGATCTCGTCTTTCAGGGTAGATACAATAGCTAGCTCTCACTAGCCCTTGAGAAAACATTTAATTACTTTTACAGATGGCGGACCAGACCCAATGAGTCAAAAACAGAGGTGATTCTGTTCACTCGCAGAAGGCCTAATGTTAATTGTTTTGTGACAATAAATGGAAGGTGTATTCCATGGAGAAAAGAAGTGAAGTATCTCGGTTTGATGCTGGACTCAAAGCTCACGTTCACCAAGCTCATCAACACGGTATGCGATAGAGGAATGGCTCTAATCTGCAATTTATTTCCGTTGTTAAATAGACACTCCGATCTGAGTACATTTAATAAAAAGTTAATTTATTATTTGTATATTCGACCCATGCTGTTGTATGCGGCTCCTGTCTGGTCTAACACATGTATCACCAACTACAGGAAGTTGCAGGTTGTGCAGAACAAATGCTTGAGACTGATTGGTTCCTTTTACAGGTGGACGCCAAAAGACTACGTGCGTTCAATATTTGAGGTGACTAGTGTCTCTTCACAACTCCACAGTATAACATCAAGATTTTGCAAAGCTTGTGAACTTAGTGAATACACTAATATTAGAAATATTGTTAACTATGAAGCTGCCTCCTTGCAGACACTTTACAAAAAATATAAGTACAAAAGAGTGAAGCACATTTTGCTGTAAATTAACTATACAGGGTGAATTGCTACTCGTGCTACAAACTTCTCCAGTAGATTCTTCACCCTAAAATGAACAAAAAAGTTCATATTGTCCATGGTCCGATTCTCNGACCATGGACAATATGAACTTTTTTGTTCATTTTAGGGTGAAGAATCTACTGGAGAAGTTTGTAGCACGAGTAGCAATTCACCCTGTATAATGTAAAGGGTTTTTTAAATTTTTTTCCCCTCTGTATTAATATTGAGATATGTATAAATTAGTTTTTTTTTACTTCAGATCAGGTATATAGGCAGGAAGCCTGAAGCCAGTTTTTTAATTTCTTTGTAAATACTGTATTTATTTTGTAAATAAAAATAAATTTCAATTTCAATTTCAAGGTACCTATGTTTCTTTTTTTTACTAATTTTTTTGTATATGCAAAACTAATGGACATTTCGTGTAATTTCATTGCAAAAATACTAAAATACAGCTCGAACTCTTGAAATAGAGGTGATGAAACTCTGTTAAAAAAACGCCCGTTTTCTAATATAAGGATCGAGTTCAGTAATAGGTGAATTTTCGACCATGCGAAACAGTTATGTAAATATTGTGCTATTAACTAATTTCCCACCGAACTGTTATATAAAAAATTAAAAGAATTTAATTGCCGAAAAAAGATTTTTGTACAATTTTCTTCCCCGTTCGTCGACATGGCTAGCAATTGAACAAAATTGATTAATCAATTTTACCTACGGTTTTACAAAAAATGTTTTTATTTTATTTTTTAAAATTTAATTTTTAAATATTTTTTTGTTTAGATCAGAAGTCTACGTGACACGGGGCAGGTTGAATCCAAACTAATGTAAGTCATAAATCCGAACGACCCGACGTGCTGAAAGTATGTTGCTCAAGGTTTTTTCCGACTTTGAAATTGAATCAAATGACTTTTTCTGCCCCTTTAAATGAGTTAATGACCAAATAAGAAGTAGACAATTGATTGAAGGAAAAGCGGAAAATTACCTTCTTATTTTTCATGCCGCTTATTTCCTTAATCTGTTTTATTATTTTGCTATTATCATTAGTGTTTCTTTTTAATGGCTTTGACAATTTCTATATTTTGTCAAAGTAATGAATGAACAGAAACTTTGTGCGGGATGGAAAGGACTCGGAAATTTCAGGCGGAACGGTAGGAATCGAGCCCACGACCGCGGCGTCTCACGCGATCCACTTTTTTTAAAATTTATATGGCTTTGGCATAAATGTTTCACTATTAAATATGCTTATGATTATTAAGAATAAATTATTGACGCACAGTATAATGATCATGATGAACAAGGGTCAGCAGACTACATATTAGAGTAATGTTTATGAAAGGTATTGGTTGAGATGAAAAGTCATTGTCACGAGCGGGATTCGAACCCATGATCTTCGGCTAGATATGCCGCTGCTCTACCACTTGAGCTGTCGTGACTTCGATCCGCTCGGACACTAACTTCCCATATCAACCCCACCTTTTGAATTTTCCCTCCTTTTTGCCATTTTTCTTTTTTTTTATCTCAACTAAAAACCTTAATTAATTGAAAGATATTAATTAGTCAAGGGGACCACGAAAACTAGTGAGTTTAATAAGTTAAAATGAAGTATATCTTCACTAAAGCTCTCCATGGCCATTTCATTCGTCGCCGAGAATCAAATAGATTACACTCCTTTTTTTTTTCTTAAACGAGGGTTCGCAACGGCAGAGGTTATATCAACCCTCGGGGTGCCGGTGTTTTTGGAGAAAAAAAAGCCCATTTGTAAGTATGTCGGGTTCGAATGTTGGGCCGCTGGATTCGAACCCAGGAACCTTTACCTTACAGTGATGAGCGCCCTGTCAACGCCTAAATTGTTGCGGCCACAGAAGATTGATAAAGGGAATCAATTTGAAGTAGCAACAGGCCAAAGTCGCTAACTCGCAACCGAGGCTTCAATTTGGATAAATCGAAAAAAATATACTTTTCAAATGTTTTTTTAGACTTTTGATATTTCCTTAGTTTCATAAATTTTTTGTGGATATTTTGACCAATTTTTATGAAGATTGATGCAGGGAATCAATTTGAAGTAGCAACAGGCCAAAGTCGCTAACTCCAACCGAGGCTTCAATTTGGATAAATCGAAAAAAAATATACTTTTCAAATGTTTTTTTTTTAGACTTTTGATATTTCCTTAGTTTCATAAATTTTTTGTGGATATTTTGTTCAAATTTTATGAAGATTGATACAGGGAATCAATTTGAAGTAGCAACAGGCCAAAGTCGCTAACTCGCAACCGAGGCTTCAATTTGGATAAATCTTTTTATCTTCTTTTTTGCCATTTTTCAAGGTAGAGCAGCGGTGTATCAAGCCGAAGATCGTGGGTTCGAATCCCGCTCGTGCCATTGACTTTTTTATCTCGACTAAAAACCTTAATTAATTATAATATATTAATTGGTCAAGCGGACCACGAAATTAGTGAATTTAACAATTAAGAATCAAGAAATATGTTTTTTAAGTGGAGAGCTGGTGCGTTGCCAACCATATTACCTGTTGTATTCTTAACAGACTAACATATAAATTACGAAAATCATTGCCACATAAATATTACATAATTTATAAACAGTCTTAGTTCTATTTAAAATCGTTTATAACGTTGATTCTTTTTACTTACGAACACACAATTACTTTGCCTGTGTCTGTTTATTCCGACACGTATCAAGCTTGATAGGTTTCAAAGCGGATTATTTGAAAGCAAATTCAATCCTCTGCAACCTTCACTTCGTCATTATTTCGAATGGTCAATCATTTCTAATACGATTGTAAAAAGGTAGAGAAAAACATTTTTTTGACATAAAAATTAAACGAGTCGTTTTTGACCCTTATTCTCTTGAAAACCTGCGATTAGTTTTCATTCACGATTGTTCATGTCAAAGTCTTGGTTCTTCTTTTTGGACGAAATATTGCTATAAACAACAATTTTAAACTGAATTGGACCTAAAATTAGTTTACCATATTTTGCGAAATCCCAAGGCCATGTCTTTTTCATAAATGCCTCACTAACATGGATAGACATTTAGAATAATTAAAATTGCTTAATTGAATTTAACGCTTGGTACCCTCAAAATATTTTACAAAGATGCTTCCGCTTAAAATACGCATTTTGATTGTTTAAGACTCATTATCCCAACATATATCAAGCCTAATAGGTTTTAAATTAATTTAAAAGCAAATTCAATCCTCTACAACGTTCAGTTAATTATTAGTTTGAAAAAAAAATTAATAGTTTCTGAGATATTTGCAAAAATGTAGAGAAAAACAAGTTTTTGGCAATAAAAATTAAAGAAATCCTGAAATCCTACAATTAGTATTAATTCACTGAAATTTTAATAAATATATTATTTTTATTTTCACTAGGTGTTGTATGGTATAAACAACAATTTTTAAATATAACGCCTTAAAAATACTTCAAAAGTACATTTTTTTCTAGTCCAAAAGTCATACCTTATTCTGCAATGTATTCTCGCAATCCTAAATTATAACTTTAGTAGTTAATAAAAAACATACAGTTTAAAAGAATCCTATTGTTGATTGTATTTAAGAATTGGTTCCTGTGAAAGCTTTTACAATGATGCTTCTTTTTCTAGAGAATACGCAAGTGCTTAGGTGGTAAAGTCAATAGAGGCGAGCTTTCTAAATTCTACAATGAAGTTAATGAAGCAGAAATGTACGACTTTTTGTCCCATTTTTCACTTATAGGAATTACACTTTATATTCATATTAAACGCTTTAAATTCATATTAAAATGTAAAAGGCTCGTAGGCACGTTTTTTATGTAATTTTTAAGAAAAACGCAAAAACCCCGCCTTTTTCGATGTAAAAGGCTTGTAGACACGTTTTTTACGTATTTTTCAAGAAAAACACTAAAAAAAAAATCGAAAATTTTTTTTTAGCTTTCTAAATTCTACAATGAAGTTAATGAAGCAGAAATGCACGACTTTTTATCCCATTTTTGACTTATAAGAATTATACTTTATATTCAAATTAAACGCTTTAAATTCATATTAAAATGTAACAGGCTCATAGGCACGTTTTTTACGTATTTTTCAAGAAAAACGCCAAAAACCTCAAAAAATCGAAAAAATTTGTATTGTCTTGTTCGATGTAAAAGGCTCGTAGGACACGTTTTTTTACGTAATTTTCAAGAAAAACGAATAAAAATCGAAAAAAATTTTATTGTCTTTTTTGATGTAAAAGGCTCGTATGCACGTTGTTTTACGTATTTTTCAAGAAAAATGTCCAAAAACCAAAAAAATCGAAAAAAATTTTATTGCCTTTTCGATGTAAAAGGCTCGTAGGACACGTTTTTTTACGTAATTTTCAAGAAAAACGCAAAAACCCCCCAAAAAATCTAAAAATTTTTTATTGTCTTTTTCTACGTAAAAGACTTGTAGGCACGATTTTTACGTATTTTTCAAGAAAAACGCCAAAAACCTCAAAAAATCGAAAAAATTTGTAGTCTTTTTCGATGTAAAAGGCTTGTAGGCACGGTTTTTAAGTTTTTTTCAAGAAAAACGCCAAAAACCTCAAAAATCGAAAAAATTTGTATTGTCTTTTTCGATGTAAAAGGCTTGTAGGCACGTTTTTTAACGTAATTTTCAAGAAAAACGCAAAAAAATCTAAAAAAATTTTATTGTCTTTTTCGAGGTAAAAGGCTTGAAGAACACGTTTTTTATGTATTCGTAACGCAAAAACCCCAAATGTCAACATGTGCAAATGTGTGACATCGCAAATCCAAACAATAACTTGAGTATCTCTTCCCATTTGGAAGAACGTTGTTTCCTGACCAGTAGAGTCTACCTGAGGAGAGTTTTCAGCATACTAGCAATATTTGATGTAGATCCGCCATGAAAACTCACATTTTATGGAAATACATAGACGTTCGAATTCTGTTTATAATTTTATATTCTTCTATCGTCAAGTTAAGATTTTTAAACAAAAGGGTGATTGTTATGAGTTCAAGAATTAGGTCAATACCACTGCCCATATAGTCAGAATAGTAAATGATTTAGCCCAAGCCTTTAATGTTGGACAACATATTGGCACGGTTTTCATTGATGTACTAAAGCCCTTTGACCATTTGGCATAATGGTATAAGTCATCAGAGTGACAGACTATAACTACCCTATGTAATAAAAATAGCCCAAATCTCATCCGAACAATCCCTGACGCCATCGTGTTCCTTGTATATTTTTACAAAATATCTATTCCAAAAACTATTAAAATTGCGCAACGCAAAAAACTTCATTGGAAATGTCTACAGCTTACAAAATATTAATTTAATATTTAATTTGTATTTAAAAAATACAAGAAAATTTATTGCATGACTGTCGTAGTCCGAGTCGGCAGAATAACTTTGGATGATAATAGATCGTAACTCACTTTTATTCTCCAGGTAAAATTTAGTTATTTATGTGTACAGCGAATTATCAATAGGAGAGTGCACCAATTAAGCTAAAAGGGCTAGTGTCCTCTTCATTATTTTAAAGGGAATACTAGCAAGGGGAGGATACTGTTATTATAAATACTGTCAGTATTTAGGATACTGCTTTAATCACGGAAACAAATGTAAACAAAAACTTATTAAATTAACTAGTTTTCGTGGTCCGCTTGACCAATTAATATCTTTCAATTAATTAAGGTTTTTAGTTGCGATAAAAAAGTCAGTGTCAAGAGCTGGATTCGAACCCACGACCTTCCGCTAGATTCGCCGCTACTGTACCACTTGTGTTATCGTGACTTGAAAAATGGCAAAAAGGAGGGAAAATTCAAAAAGGTGGGGTTGGGATGGGAAGTTAGTGTCCGAGTGGATCGAAGCCACGATAGCTCAAGTGATAGAGCAGCGGCGAATCTTGCGGAAGGTCGTGGGTTCGAATCCCGCTTGTGACACTGACTTTTTTATCACAACCAAAAACCTTAAGTGAAAAGAATTTCTTTGGTCAAGCGGGCCACGAAACCTAATAAATATAAATTATTATTAATATTAGTAAGTTATTGTATTATTAAAAAAAACCTTCTGATCAATATTACAAGCCCATAAAATGTTTATCCATTCAATTAGACTCAAATTTGGCCAACCTTCCTTTATCAATATTTTCGACCCGTAGGAAACAATGAACTAATAATTCCCCAGGTAATTGATAATGTCGAGGGACCCCACTTTAGCCCCCACTCGCGGTTTGCCGGGGTCGGACGCGTTCTGAGGTTCTTCCTGACAGTCACATGGTATCAGTGCAACCGGCAGGATGGATGAAAACGCTGTCGTGGTGAGAAACGCTTACAAGGGCTATTCGTCCTCCTTCGTCCTCAAAGGGCTCAACATGACTGTGCGCAAAGGATCTATGTGAGTTCAAAACTCAAAATAACATTAAAAATGTATTTTATTTTCCGAATAAGTTCATCTTCGGACCGAATTTTCGGCACAAAATATAATTTTCCAAATATTTTTTGCCTTAAAAAAGAGCACTTTATAGAAACTTCATTATAGATAGCAAATTATACTATAAAATACTGAATTGATTAAATATCATCAATTATCTGAAATAATCAATCAATCAATTGTACGAAAAAAAATATGAAAATTAATAATTAAACAAAATATAACGGTTGTTAAATGATTATGTGGTGATAAAATGTATGAGGCTTGTTCGAGATTGTTGTTGGTGCCATGCTTTATGTTGTATATTTCGAGAAATTAGTAGTTACTTTTCTGTGAGGAAATGAAGTTAGACAAAACAAATAGAACTGATAGAATCAATGTAAAACAGAGCTTATTTTTCTGATTCTTCTATTCTTGTAAGATTTTTTATAAATTTTAGCCTTTGGTTTGTCGGAATGGCAATGATTTACGTAAAAATGTGAAGAATAGGACAAAAAGACGGTAAAGACTTCAGTTCTGTTCAATAACTTCATTACAGACTTAAGAAAATTACCTATGTCTTGACCTATATTGAAAAACATCTACTTGTAAAATATTTTTAAAGTCAAGTTCAGGATTATATTTAAAAATTACTGTTTGTGCCTATCAAATGGTAAAAAAGAAAGAGTAGGACTATTAAAAATTTATATGCAGCGTTAAAAACGTTTTCTTTAATTTTTATCGTCAAAAAACATCCTTCAATACATTTTCGAAAATATTTCATAAACTATTACTTTTTTTGCAAACTAACAATTAAGTAAACGTTGTAGAGGATTGACTTTCCTTTGAAATGAACTAGTTTTAAACCTATTAGGCTTGAGACATGTTGGGATAAATAGTCATAAACTACCAACATGTCTTTGTATGTTTTTTGTTAAATATCTATCAACGTAATAAGTTAAAATGTGAAGAGTAAGACATGGGACTTTTGAAAAAATACTACTTTACCTTAAACCATGTATATTAAAGTCAACTTCAAACTTATATTTTAAAAATTGTAGTTTATACCACGAAATACTTAGTAAAGATCAAACCATTTATATTTAATGTATTAATACTAATTGTATAGTTTCGCGAGAACGGGATCACAAACGCTTCGTTTCATTTTTATGACGATAAAAACATTTTTTTCAAAAATCTTAAAAAACGCGTACGCAGAAAAACAATTTGAGTAAGTAGAAATACTTTGATTGAATATAAAAATTTTTTTTTGCATTTATAAATTCACTTTTTTTCACATCCTACGTGTATTTGTTAAATTGAAACAATGTGAATCCCAGGCCCTGAAGATGATCTCAATAAAGATTGAAACGTTGGCACGATAAAGAAAATGTTTTTCTGAAACCTACGTCACACCAGACCGCATATCACGATTTCCGAATAAATACTACTTTACTTAAGTCAAGTACTTTAAAGTCAATTTCAAACTTTTTAAAAATTGTAGTTTATACCACGAAACACTTGGTAAGGATCAAACCATTGATATTTAGTGAATTAATACTAATTCTATAGTCTTCCGAGAACAGGATCACAAACGTTTAATTTTTATGACGATAAAACACATTTTTCTCACATTTTTGCAAAATCTTAAAAACCATTTACTTTTTCAAAATAATTATGAAGTAAAACGCAGACGATGAACCTCTTTGAAACCTATTAGGCTTTGTGACATACACAACTCCTTGCCATTTTTTGGGGAATTTTTTATAACAATATTTTCAACAACGAGGATTATTTCAAAGGATAAGCTAATCCCCAACCGCAGGCTCGGCAGTGCGAGCTGAGACACAAAAGGACGAGGAAACTCTCTTTCAAGTTGTTGAAGGCACCCGCTCTTTTTTTGTAAATGGCAAGGAGTCGTGTATTTCACAGATCGCTTATTTTTATTTGATTTTTTTTTAAAAGTCTGAATACATTTATTTTTTAGAAAGTTTTTGTTATAATTTATTTGGGTCAGGTCCCAATTTTTGTCTTTTTGCGATTAATTTGTTTGAGTTTGTGACACAGATATTTTTTTTTCATTTTTATTTTACACTCGTGAGTGAAACGAGTTTGCTTCGGTGATGGGGATCCACGCAAAGATCGTAATAGGTTGATACATGTTGGAACATCGTGGTAAAAAAATTTGTAGGCCCCCAAAGCTTAAATTTAATTAATACTTTTTTTAAGTTGTATCTTTTTTAAATATCTATGATAATCATAAGTTAGTAGCTCACAAGTACAATTTAGGCTAGGGCGTTCATGGCAATATGTACTGGTTACATACATTGAAGGTATGTTGAGACTTATATTTTAAAAATTGTTGTTTGTACCACGCAATACTTGGCCAAAAATAAGTATCAAACTATTGACATTTACGTGAATTTACACTAGTTACAGGTACATGAGAATTCAGGGTCAAAAACGTCTCGTTTAATATTTATGGCCAGAAAACATGGTTTTCCCCTACAGTTTTGCAAATACAAACTATTGACTTTTTAAAATTATAAAGGATTGAATTTCATTCAGAATGATTTTATTTGAAACCTAATAGGCTTGATGTACGTTGGGATACACAGTTAAAAACTGCCAAAATATGTGAGTGTTCGTTAGAAAATCCTAGATCAAAGTGAAAGAGTTTCACCATTAAACACAACAAAAGCATATAGAAAATACCTCGAATGACGCCCTAGCAATAATACCTGTTGATATGGTACTCAAAACAAAATATCTGTTCTAAAAAACCAAAATGAATGGTACTGGTAATCAGAAATCGATTGAACTAAATAAATGAAGACGTCATTTTTTGAATTCAATTATGAAATAAGACCAGATGGGGGCGTCCGTAGCCGCAACGGTTTAGGCGTTGACACGGCGCTCATCACTGTAAGGTAAAGATCCCGGGTTCGAATCTCGCGGCCCTGCATTCGAACTCGACATACTAACAAATGGGCTTTTTTCAAAAACACCGGCACTCCGAGGGTTGATAGGAAACTCTGCTGTAGCGAACCCTCGTAAAAAAAGAAGAAAAAAGTAAAATTTCTTTAAAGGGACGCCCAGTTGATAGGAAGATGTATATATGTATATATATATCCTATATTAAAATTGGTTTGAAATAAACAAAAAAAGAGTGAACCGTTTTTTTGTTATCAGTTCATGACAAAAAAAAACCAGATGACGGAAATGAGTGAAACGTCATATTCATTAATTTATTGGGTGCTGTTATTACGGTTATCTGCATTTATATACATTTTTATTTGTTATAAATTCCACTGAAATGTTAAATGGTAAATATTTATTTATATATTGCTATTTATGTAGGTTATTATTATTTATTAATGATAGGATGGGAAACACAATTTAAAAAAAATATTATTTTGATTGCCCCCAAAATGATTTACACCCTAATCCAGATTACCTAGTAAGGTTTTTGTAAAAAGACGTCGCAAAATATTTTTTAAACTGTATTTTTTTAATGTCTGCCAATGCACGAATGTCATGAACAACAAAATTCAAGAATAAGATATGTTTTTCGGACTTGTAAAAAAATGATATACTGGTAAATTACTTTGAAACTACTGGTAAATTAAATTTCAACTTATATTATAAAAATTCTTGTTTACACTACGCACAAATTGATAAAAAACTAAAATCAAACAATTGACATTTATATAAATTTACAATAATTGTAGAATATAAATGATAAATGATGGAGTGAGTGTGGTGTTCAATACTTTTTAAATAACCATATTTTATTTTATTATAAAATTTTATATAATAACCATTTTTATATATAATTTTATATATAACCATATTTTATTTAAATAACCAACCTAACCACCCCTAAAAACTAATTGTAGAAGTTCACGAGGACACCCTACAGAGGGTCAAAAACGCTTCGTTAGATTTTTATGGTCAAAAAACAACTTTTTACTCTAAATTTTTGCAAATATCTTACAAATTGTTGACTTTTTCCCAACTAATAACGATGTAAACGTTATGGAAGATCGAATTTCCTTTGAACTTAACTCCTATGATACTTATTAGGCTTGATACTTGTTGGGATAAACAGTCATAAAAAAATGAATTTATTTGCAAAACATTGAAGACATTATTTTGACAAATAAAAATTAAATAGCATTGGAGAACGAAATACTGTAATGTAATGTAAAATGAACAACCTGCTTTCAGTAAGTTTAACTTGCGCTTGAGAGCAAGAATTTGAGGTCACAAATAGTTTTATTTTAAAAAAAGATAGATTTGTGTATCTTTTGGACTTCTCAACAATGTGTAGCACAAATAAATTTTTGTATTGTCATTTATTTAGGGTTAAATTATTACATTAATTATTTAGATTTAATTCTTACTTTGATCATAATCATAACTTTGTTAAATTCCATGCTATCGATTAAAATAAATTTTCGAAATAAATGGAATTGGTCAAAATGATTTAGGAAATATAAAGGAACCGAGGAGTATTACACAAATGATCCATCTGACCGTTTTAAGATATTTTTTATTTCACTGACTTCAAAAGCCTTTCGTCGATTTTCCTCTCGGCTAGAAAGCGTATTTTCTGCCGTCTCATCGTGATTCTTGCCATCGGGCAGAACCATGGAAAACCGATCGGAAAAGTCTCAAAACATACACGTGACCTTTTCGGCCGGCTCCCTTTCCGTTACATAAGCTCCATGCGTGGAAATTCGAACGTTACCAGATCTCGACTTTTCCTTTATTTGAAATTTTGTCGTTACGGGCCAATTTGGCTTTAGTCTGTCAGTCGCGTTTCGGCTTTCGTCATCTTCAGTGAGTCTGTCAGGCCAAATCTCCCTCTCTCTCTCTCATCTTCACTTCTTCTAGCTAGCGCTCTCTTCTTTATTCTCTGACTCACAAACAGTCTGTTTCTGCCTGTCTGTCCCTTCCTCTATTCCCCTTTTCCTCCTCTCGCTCCCGTTCTCTCTCTCTCTCTCTCTCTCTCTCTCTCTCTCTCTCTCTCACTCTCACTCTCTCACTCAGTCCTCTCTGTCGGTTTATATCTCACCGTCTCTCTCTTTCTCTCTCTCTCTCTCTCTCTCTTTCCCTTTGAGTATGTGTATTTGTGTATTTTTGTTCCATTTCGCGTTCTTTAGTATTGGGCTTGCGGAAAGATGCCAAAAGATCTCTCACATACTAACGCAGCCAAAATTACCGGTAACTATCAAATTTAAAACCCAAAAACCCTGGAGGTCTGGAACCAAGTGCTAAACTATTTCAAGTTCATATCGATTTCGATGTGACGTTTTTCTCTCCTTGAAATCACATATTGGGAACATTGTTGTTACTGTGCCTCCTAAGAGGACAAGTATGATTATAGGTAATTATTTACGTTGTCATTCCATCGAAAAGATTAAGCAAACAATTTTTGTTTGAATCATAAGGAATTACAATGTTACAACATTTCATTGATTTTGTTTTGTTTTTTAGTATGTATGTTTTCAGTACCTTGAAATAATAAAGGCGATGAAACTTGGTGTTAAATGATGAAATGTTTGCGAGGCAAATTTGTTCTTTTATTCACAACCAAGTAACGGTCATTGTTAGTCGAAGAAAAGCCATTCTCCTAAAATTATTAAAGACAACTTTCAATTACCACCATTTGTCAATGGTTTCAGCAATTTTTGACCAATTTTTCCTCGCCTTGTACCAGATTGACAGCACGGCGAAGTCCTTAATATTTAAATACGCGGCAATGAATACATTTTTGTTAAGAGGAAAAAGTAATAAACCTGGGGAAAACAGGTTTTGAATGCTATCATTCAGGTGAAGTGCGTCAATCATTTAAAAAACAGAGGACTCTTTTATTAATTGTTTTTCCGGGTTTGAATATTTATAAGCCAAAAATTTTCCATCCTTTTTAGGTTTTTTTTATTACATTATTCAGTCTTTCTATTTAGCCGAGTGTGAATATGGGCGAAGATCAAATCAGATCAAGTTCTAATCTAGATCGAGAACTCATCAAACCTAGTTTCTTTACCTTTCAATTAATTAAGGTTTTTAGTTGAGATAAAAAAGTCAATGTCACGAGCGGGATTCGAACCCACGATCTTCGGCTAGATACGCCGCTGCTCTACCACTTGAGCTATCCTGACTTCCATCCACTCGGACACTAACTTCCCATCTCAACCCCACCTTTTGAATTTTCCCTCCTTTTTGCCATTTTTAGCCATGTCGTGTATGAATTTTGATTCTCGGCGACAAATGAAATGGCCACGGAGAGATTTAGTGAAGTATACTTCATTTAACTTATTAAATGCACTAGTTTCTTTACTTTCTTTTGCTTACTCCAGTTTTAACTTTTCAGATCGTCCTGGTACATCTTAAAGTATTTTTCTGTCATAATACATTTTCGCCTATTTAGCAAGAATGCATATAGCCGAAAGCGGACAAGAAGTTGTAATTAGAAATACTATTCGTCAAACTTAGATTTTTTTAAATTTTCTTCAGAGTTACCTCTCCACATTCTCCTGGGCCGCCTTTCCGTCCTAGTACATTTTTGTCCAATTTAGCCTCGGCTTAAATAGCGAGAGAAAACGGACCAGATTAGGCCTGATCAAGTTGCGAACCAATACTAATCTAAGTTTTTTTTCAATTGTCTTCAGTTTTATCTCTTCCGATCGTCATGTATCGTCTTTCCGTATATTTTGATCTTTTTACACTTTCTCAATGTATAGTCCGAGTGTAAATACCAAAGGAAGCAGACCGCATCAAATAAAAATAAGAATAAATTCACTAGTTTTTGTGGTCCGCTTGTCCAATTAATATCTTTCAATTAAATAAGGTTTTGGTTGAGATAAAAAGTCGGTGTCACGAGCGGGATTCGAACCAACGATCTTCGGCTAGATACGCCGCTTCTCTACCACTTGAGCTATCGTGACTTCGACCCACTCGGACACTAACTTCCCATCTCAACCCCTCCTTTTTGTCATTTTTCATCCCGCTCGTGACACTGACTTTTTTTAATCTCAAATCAAAATCTCTTAATTAACTGAAATAAGAATTGGATTTTTTTATGGATGTTTTATTATCCCTTTCGATCGTCCGGGCCTTTTTGCATCATTCGAACTTAATAATTTTCCCCAAATATAATCTGAATGTAAATAGCAATGCTTAACTTGCATAGGGCGACATGTTTAGTTGTTCTTTTAATCAGAAATTCTAACTTTTTGAATATGATGTAATAATCGTTCTTGCATGATTCGTCTGAATATCGAAGGTAGTAAAAAAGATATAAATAAGAAAAGATATAAAAAGATATAAAATAAAGATAAATATAATATATTATAAAAAGAGATTTTCCAACGTACACACAAGTTCAGCGATGATTACTGGAAGGATTGTATAAACTATTCTATTATTAATATAAAAATTTCGAAATCGAATCTACTCTTCAACATGGATGGTAGAAAAGGACCAGGTTTGGAATCCCGGCTCTTTCGAAATAGCCAAACACCGGCTTTGACCCCACCGGGCTGGATACTGCATCCGTCGTGACAAACATTCGGGGAGCGAACACGTTCCTTCAAAATCTGGGTCATGATCAGCGAAATGACGGAACGTTGTCGTAAACAATCGATTCATTTCAACACTCTAATAATTTAAAAATAGATAACTTTACGTTGTATTTGTATTCAACCCGATAAAACGTATAAACTTTTTTTTTCGGAATTGTCCCATTATGAGCCTTTTTTATTCTTTAAATGATCTTCATCTATGCTAAAATAATTCGAGAAATACAGTCGAGCATCAAGGTTTTAAGATAATATAAGCAACATAGAGGACGACATTAAACAATTTGTCACTCGAGAATCGACATTTCCCATTTTCTCGTATAAAATTACCTCAATTTTCTGCACGTGAAGGCTTGGCAGTTTCACTTTTTATTATTTCTATAACTACTGTCTCACTGTTACGCTTGAGCTAAAGTATATCGTAATTTAACAATTTATTGTGGATGCACCCAAAGATCATGGCCATATGTCTCCATTTCTGGGACTTAAAGGACGCTTCTTTTCCTTGACAGTGTGCAATCAGTTAGCCGACTTGAACAAAACTAAACGACAGAAATGACCGTGAAATTTGCCCTTAATGGAGGTTCATTGTCTTTCTTACATTCGCTGCCAAGCAGTTCATAAGTTATCTTTCACCCCTCGACTCTACCTTCTTGAAGACCCTCAAGCATCTACAATATGGACACATTGGCAGGAGAAAATCTAGAATCGTATACCTTCCACGTCAATTAAAGCGGTAAAGTTAGTCATATTTGATTGGAAAGGTCATATCAATATCCTATAGGAAAGGCACTATATCAATGGTACAATGTAGATGAATTGTAGGTAAAACATGGGGTATCAAACCATGGCTATATACCGCAATTATTCTACCTAGATTATTTTTCGCAGCTTTAGTATGGTGGAAAGGTCTAGAAAATAAAGAGAACAGTAATTAAGGTCATTTCAAAGACTAGGTGTTTGATGATTACAGGAGCATTTTCAACTACACCCACCCTAGCACTTGAAATCATAATCAATACCGCACCTCTTCACATTGAGGTTAAGGTCAGAGCACTAATCACAGATTAATTAGCGAGGGCTGGAATCATAAGTGCAATAACATAGGTCACTCGAAAATCTCAACTATTAAGTAAGGTTAACGGCCAATTATTAAGCGTTAATGATAAAAAGATCCTTTGGGGAAAAAGTACTTTCAGGTGGTCACCCCTTGTGATTATAATTATAGTTTTGATGATGACCATCGCAACATAGACTGCTACACATATGGTTCACTTATCAAAGGTTAAGGGAGTGCAGGAATCTACATACCTAAATTAGGAATCATCATCTCCACCCCTCTTGGCAATTACACCTCCGTTTTTCAGGCGGAAATCTATAATACATATATACTAGTTAGGAATAGTTTATTAATTAAAAATAAATAGCATTAAGTGGAAGTATACACTTACTGTTGATTTTGATAACAGTTGGCAGTTGGTTAAAGGTATGTACAGTTAGTTGATGCCTGAACATGGATGCTTTGAGTGCGGTTACTTCACGAATGTTGCTCGGCGAACCTTTTCCTCGATATTCCCGCATGTCGCACCTTCAAGCAAAAGCCAGAGTTAAAAGACTCATGCACCGGATAGGAGTACAGGCAGAAGAAACACTGTGCAGATATTGCCAAGAAGAAGAACGCAGATTTTATGTAGGGTTATGTTACATGAGGGTCTATGTAGGTGCAGATTTTTGCAACTAGGAGAGGAAAAGCCGAGCAAGGTCCTACCGGAGCTGCCGAATAGGCTTTGGAGGTTCATTAATAACATAAAACTGGTCAGCGAGTTTATAAAAATAGACGAGCACAATAGGTTTACTCAGGTCGAGGTGCAAAAGGCCATAGGAATTTATTCTGAACAACTCGTCGTTTCCTATAGATACTTTTGCACTGGTCGCACCATTATTTTGTATACAGGCAAGTTATTATTCAGATTCAATTTGGACTCCTTACAGAGTGGTGTAAACATGAGTTTGACAGCTTGCTACACTAGAGCATTATATATGTCGTAAAATTTAGTTTGCTTTTACGCCATAGTATTTAACCGAGTTATCACGATTATCACATTGCAATTTGTCACCACGTCATCACCGAGTAGGTCGCCACCTAGTGAAAAGAATAGCAACTGTTTTTTATGGGCATACACGTAAACAAGAAACAATGTTGGTTCCAGCACTGAACCTTGAGGAACACCAACTGGTACCTTAAATTCTTCAAAAAAGGCTCCCCCACAAAAGTTTCCACACCGTTGGCCAATTAGATAAGAACTATTTTTATTCAATAGGAAAATTTTATGGTTTAATTGGTAAACCCATTACGCCAAACACAATCAAATGACATATTGATGTCCAGAAAAAACCGTTCCAGTACGCTGTTTTAAGTTAAAATTATAATTAACATGGTCATTAATCTCCCTAAGTTTTGTTTCGTGTTATAATGGCGAAATCCAAACTGATCAGGAGGAAGCATTCTTTTTGAATCCGTAAACATGCAGACAATTATTTTCTCAAAAATCTTGCTTAGTGAACACAAACTAATTTGCCTGTAGCTCTGTAGGGTTTTTGTACGGTTTGTGCAACGTTATGTATCGTACATTACAGCTTCTGTGATATTATGTTATGCTTATAGCAATTCTGTCTTTTCTAGTCCTGAAGTTCGTATAAGTAAAAAGCTGATATTTTATATGACATAAATGTTTTTAATTATTGCTTTAGTAAGTTCAATTGATCGGGAAGGTTTTATCTGTCTTTTGATTAGTGATTGAGCATTGTCTCTAAGAAGCGTGTGTAAGTCGGCCAGGTGGTCAAGATTGACGTGGCATTAACATGCCCAAAACATCTCGCCTCGGCTTTACCATAAACGAAGTCATACTGGAAATTGGAACATTCAGTGAGTCATAAAAGAGCGGATAAACGGTTTCTCGGAAGTCGGATGAAATTACGGCTTGAGTTAGCTCTCCAAGGTCGGGTCATTGCCGGTTCCTCATCCATGCCGCGGCCGTACCCTTGTGTCGAACTTCTTGCACCACCGGCGCACTTTCACCGGCTAGTTTGCGAACGGGACCTCTCCTTCAAATCCCAAGAGTTGCAATCCGTGTTAAACATTGTGTAAAAGATGAAACACTCGATGGAGACAAATCTTTTTAAAAAAAGTAAAAATATACTGGTACTAAAAGGAAAACGGATGGTTTTTCGGAGGAACTTAAAATTTAAACTAGCCATGCGATTTCTGGCAAATAGAGAGGAATAGTCTTGAGTTTTGGTACGATTTTATTCGTACAAACTGGCGAATTGAACTATGTTCCAGTAAGCACCAATGAAATGTGCGACGTCCTCTCACACACAAAATGCTCAGTCAAATAATCAAAAGAAAAGTAATGTGGGATATTTAGGAGCCGACAAACAGGTGAGACCATGGCCCTTTGCATGCTTCGACTTCTTTTCCTTTTTTTAAATTCATATTTTATTCAACCTGCGACCATTTGAGCGTCTCGATCTGTTACTGATTCTCTTTCTATATGAAAACTAAATCGATATCCTAAAATGCTAGCATCTCAGGTCTACCTAAGGTTATCAAGAACAGAATAGACATAAAACATATATACACATATATACTGGTACTAAAAGGAAAACGGATGGTTTTTCGGAGGAACTTAAAATTTAAACTAGCCATGCGATTTCACACATATTCTAGCCACACATATTCATCACTAAATAGAAAAATGAACTGAACAATGGCAAAAAAGGAGGGAAAATTCAAAAGGTGGGTTGAGATGGGAAGTTAGTGTCCGAGAGCTCCGCCACGATAGCTCAAGTGGTAGAGCATCGGCGTATCAAGCTGAAGGTCGTGGGTTCGAATCCCGCTCGTGACACTGACTTTTTTATCTCAACTAAAAACCTTAATTAATTGAAATATATTAATTGGTCAAGCGGACCACGAAAACTAGTGAATTTATTAAATAGAAAACTGATCGCATTCACTCTCCCAGAGAGCTGGATATTCCTCGAGGCAGGGTTTAAAACCTCTTCCTTTCACGCTTAATAAATTACAGTCATTCAAGTAAATTAACATAAACACATATACATTTTAAAATAGCTCTGAGGTACAGCGATCTGTGCGCGCTGGCGATCAAACTCCCGAGACACAGGTCTGACTATACATCAACATATTGCCTATAAACGTCAAACCTTCTACAATTTAAAATACTGTCGAACTTTAATTTATTAATACTTAACGGGCACGTACATGATCGCTTTCGAGAAGGTGCCCGAGAGTTATTCTTGAATGACCTATACGTAACCTTGTCAGTACGGCCTTTTCCCTTTCCGACCGTCCTCCATTGACCATGGACCTTTCTGAAAGAAAAGTAATAAAATTGTAACAATCCTCAAGTAAATAATCCGTGGGGAAAGTTTATAGCTAACAATTATGCTAATTATTGTCATAAAGGTTTTATGATTATGGTTAATACATTTTAATAGGTTTCGTGGTCCGCTCGACCAATTACTATCTTTCAATTAATTAAGGTTTTTAGTTGAGATAAAAAAAGTCAGTGTCACGAGTGGGATTCGAACCCACGATCTTCGGCTAGAAACGCCGCTTGAGCTACCTTTTTGAATGTTCCCTCCTTTTTGCCATTTTTCAAATGTCGTGTGTATTTGATTCTCGGCGACAAATGAAAATGAAATAATTCAAAAGGTGGGGTTGAGATGGGAAGTTAGTGTCCGAGTGGATCGAGGTCACGATAGCTCAAGTGGTAAAGGAGCGGCGTATCTAGCCGAAGATCGTGGGTTCGAATCCCGCTCGTGACACTGACTTTTTTATCTCAACTAAAAACCTTAATTAATTGAAAGATTTTGGTTAATTTTTTTGGTTCCTCTTCTTCTTCAACCTCACTATTTCTTTGAAACTTTTTTCATTCTGTCTTCACCTCTCAGAACTGTGTTCAAACTTTTCCATTTCTTTTATTTACTTTACTTTACTTTTATCCAAAAGTTTAAGAATAGAACGAGTCGCACTTGTATTCTCGCACCGATCAGAATTCTGTTTGTTTTAAAATTACAGAGAATGGGCGACCATTAGCCCTAAATTCACATAGAATAATCTTCATAGGTAATAAGCAAGCAACAAGGTTAAAGGTATTATGAATGGCCAGTTGCATAACAAATAATATACCTTTAGTACTGAAATTTTTCAGACCCTTCATTTATTTCAAAGTGCGCCTTTAAATCGCAAATGCTATATCATTGAACGATGTGTAATGAATAGCTGACGATGTTCTTCGTATCTTCCATAAATTCCATTACATTGTATAAGTTCCCACATGGGAACGAACCCGTGGAAGGATGTATTTACTTCCGGACATTGTGAGCCTTTTAATTGGCCGAGAAGTCTCTCAAAATCCAACCGTTCAAACCGTTAATTGTATTGTTTCTTCCTTTTCCTCTTAGTAGGTGAAGTTTCGATTCTTTATTACATTAGCACTGTTACACAATGACACGGAATACTTTTTCTTTAGAAATCATAAATTTTTATTACAGACCAACAGTGCAGTTCTTTAGGTTCAAAATGTTCAATTTATGGACCACGTTTTTACTCACGAATATCTTGATTTCGGTATAGTCTTGATGGACTGAGAGTCGGACTCATAATCAGCCTAACAATGCCAATGTTGAGACTGAGTCGGTCCTCAAAGCAATTTGAAAACCATATATTAAAAAATTAATTGTCAATTTATGGACATGCGTAAGATTGTTTTGCCCTGAAGATGACCGTAAAGGCTGAAAGCTTGGCAGTAACAATCGAAATTTTTTCATCAGATCATACCGAGGACTCAGATTATTCATTTCTTTAAGTACCTTTATCACTTAAATTGCGTCTTGAATCAACTTTATTGCATTGTCCATTTAAAGTTTTTTTTACGGGTTCCAGGAGAATTATGAAATACATATAAAATATCTCATCATTCATCTCTCTCTCTCTCTCTCTCTCTCTCTCTCTCTCTCTCTCTCTCTCTCTCTCTCTTACTCTCTTTCTCTCTCTTTGACTTCTTTACATTCTGTCTGTTTCTTTCTCAAGTTTATTTGACGATATCACAAGTTAATAAACGACAAGGCGTTGGAATGGTTGGAACCATTTTGTCTTAAATATAGCTAAGTATGAGAACGTTATTTAGAATGAATGACTCCAGTCACATCACAATTTTAGGGATAAAAGCGCACAATAGAAACAGGCAACGAAGAAGCATATAAACGATTACTAAAAATTGCTAAACACGCAACAAAAGACCGGCCATTGCCCGTGAAATTTTACAGGGTTCCTTCCTCATTTGTGCAAAAGCAACAACTGAAGGGGATGGCTGCCAAATAGATAGAAATTTGGAATAAATTTGACACTAGAGCACACACGCAAAAATTACGAATGTAGCGTGTAGATTGGCCGCTAAACATCCATTAACGTGGAAAATTATACAGGCTGTCATGAGAAAACTGTAAAGTAATTTAAACGATTTCCTATCACTGATGATGACAACTACAACACCCCCGACAAATGACGTACACATGGTCATTAGTGTTTGAATGCTCTAATTTCGATTAAGAGTGTAGCTGTGAAAGAAAGTTGTACTCAGCGGACGGGATTGGCCTCCAAATTTTGAAAAATTGGTGTCGTATATCACGGACTGCTAAGATTATAAATAAAATATAGTTTACTTCTCTTTACTTAGTTTACAATAAATAATATAACATTCAAATTTTAAAATAAAGCAATCAATCAATAAAATTATTTTCTGTAAATTTTAAATTGTAAAAATCGTATTTATAAATAAAATATATTTAGCTCTCCTTAATTAGTTTACAATAAATACTGTAACAATCAAATTTTGAAATAAAGCAGTAAATCAATAAAATTATTTTCTGTAAAAAATCCTAATGCAAAACACCTGTAATTACTATGTGGACACTCTCTCTCTCACTCTTTCATTCAGTCGCGACCTACCTACATGTCTGTCTGCTTCCTTTTTTTCTCTTACTTTCTCTCTCGCTCTCTCACTCTCTCACTCTCTCATTCAGTATCTGCCTGTCTGTCTGTCTGCTTCCTCTTTTTCTCTCACCATTTCNTTTTTTTTTTTTTTAACTCCCTCACATTCTCTCTGTTTCTTTCTCAAGTTTATTGGACTATGACACAAATTTTGTTGTTCATAAGTATATAAATTAAATGTGTGGTGATTAGTGACCGTTAATCGATAATTATTCAGAAATCGTGAGATGCGGTCACCAGACGATTTCTCTCACGATTTCTGAATAAATATAAATTAAAGTACATTACTAAAAAGGATTTACGTTCGAGAAGAAAAGATAGAAATAAACAATGTTTTATGTTAATATGTTTTTTCCTGTATTAATAAAATACAAATAAATGTAACATTAATGCAGAAAAAACATTTGATCAAAATTTAATTCTGAAATTTTGGAAATTTAACGTCCCCATTTTTCTACTAAGAAAATTGCTTGTTCGGTCAACTTGTGTACATGTTCAGAATTGTTTTTGAAAATTCAATTACAAACCATTCGAGTAGTAAGATTTCATAAAAAATTGTTAACATGATTGTGGTATATGTATATGGCCAAAGAAAACAAAAGATTTTTTTACTCACGGGGGTAGAATAGTGTGGCTGGCTCAAAACGGAGCACCCCCATAAAGCTGGGCAGTGATGGCGAAGCGTCTAAAATCTTGGGCAGTCCTGCAAGCAGAAGAGAGCATATTGGCAAGGGCTCAAACGAAACATCCAAGAGGAGAGTTAGCCAATAGGGAATTAAGTATTTAGTTTCTAATGAATGTTTCTGTTTATCCTTTTAATTTGAATTTCTAAATTTCACTCAAGCCTTATTTTGCAGTTATCTGCAAGGCAAATTGTCGTTTAAGTATTTAAAAGAACTATATTTTTTTCTATTGGTCTGATTTCAATTAAAAAAAAAAAATCCAGGATGTAAAATATTCTTCAGTGTTGTAAACTTCATAGGGGGTTTATATTTAAAATTTTTAAGCTATTATCCTGAGCACCAATTTTCTGAAATTTTTTACTACATTTTTAAATTGTCTAAATTAAAAATTAAACATGTATTCTTTGGGATTTCAAAATTTCTCATAGTTTTTCAACCATTATAGGTCTATTGTGGAACCTCTATGGTTAAGACATTGTGAAATGTGAGTTTTTTACACAAAAACTCCTTTCCTCAACAACATTCCTTGATATAAAAATTGGCTTATCATAGCCTCACATTCGCAAAGTATATGTGCCAAAGTCTCCAGTTTCTCCCAAGAGAACTCTCAACTTTGCCCATTTTTACAAATAATAGTTAAGGGAACAAGTATAGAGGTTAGAGGTATAGAGGTAGTATAGAGGAATTTCCCTCAAATTTTGTTTGCTAAAAGAAAAGAGTTCTTTTGCCTTCCTTTTTTAATAAATTTATTACTCTTTTAGCTTGCTTCAAACTGTTGATTTCATCCAGTGCTTTGAGCCATTTTTTTAGCACCAGTTTTTGCATACTTTATGGTGTTATTAATTTTTCCAGCCTCGTGCTTCAGGTGTGTTTAGATTAACACCCTGCATTACATGTTTTTATATCAGGCACATGATTTAAATCAAAAATTGAAATAATAATATAAGCCAAATAAGTATTATACATATTTTTTTAAGTTCATTACCATCTATGCATTAATTTCAGATATGCACTCTTGGGTCCGAGTGGCTGCGGAAAGACAACCCTTCTTAGCTGTATCGTCGGAAAAATTAATTTGGATTCTGGTTCTATAGAAGTGTCATCAGCCTACAAATCTCTTCTTGGTTACATGCCACAAGTAAGTCCTTTATGCATTTAGTCAATTATAACACTGGTTTCAGATTTTTTTTAGCTATAAAAAAGTAATTTAATTTACACTTTTTGCACTATTATCAAGTAAAATTTTAGTATTTTATATGTGGCAGTGGACTTAATTTATACTGTAAGGTTAATTGTTCAAAAAATGACCTTAATGTTATTTTTAATATCTCATAATAACACATAAATACCTAAATTATAGATTTATCCCGGTTTTTCTCAAAGTTGTTTTTCTTGTAATTTGTGGTCAGGTTTTTTAAAATCCACAGATTTTAAAAACCTAACCTTTACACATTTATTTTCTTATATTTGATTATAGAAGGTAAATTACTTTCTTAACTGATTTTACATTATTTTTTCAAAATTATCACTTTATTTGGGTGTAAATATGTTTTTGTTATTTAATCAGAAATGCTTAAAATGAAATGCTAATGAAAATTATTGAAATTATTACACTCCTTAAACTGTATAGTAACAAAAATTATACTCTCATTAATGGTCTATTTTTTTCCAGCATATTGCCCTCTATATGCAGTTGAGTATAGCAGAAACGTTTGCTTATTACGGTCGAGTTTATGGAATGAGATGGGACGAGATTCAAGACAGGAGCTACCATCTGCAAAAACTCCTTGAATTGCCTTTAGACAAAAGGATTGTCGAGACATTGAGGTGTGGAAAATTATTTTTCCGCTGTTTGTCCTTATCATTAGCAAAAGATGCTTCTAGTTGTTTGTTTTTAATTGTCTAGTATTGTTTTTTACTTTACAGTGGAGGACAACAAAGAAGAGTATCTCTGGCCGTATCATTAATTCACAATCCGGACATATTAATCTTGGATGAGCCGACAGTCGGCCTCGATCCTGTGCTTAGTGATAGGTAAATTCAGAAAAATTTAATGATTAGGTGTTTTTGATTTCCATAATTATATAATTAATCATTAATATTAACACAGTGTTTATGACAGCCTGTACCTTTAATAATCTTAGATAGTTTTACATAATTTTTTTCCTACCTGGTGAATACAATATTAAACAAATATATATTTTAGCATTTGGCAATATTTATTGAAACTCACTACAATTGAAAAAAAGACTATAATAATAACGACTCATTATATACAAGAAGCAATACAGGCCAACAAGGTAATAGCGATCGTAATATATTTTATTAAAGTGGAATAAACTAAATGACATTTTTAGGTAGGTCTCATGAGGGGAGGAATATTATTATGTGAAGAATCGCCAGCTGATTTAATGGCAAAAAATAACTGTTCAACAATGGAAGAAGCATTTTTAAAATTGAGTCAAAAACAAGAGCTTATGGGGCCGGTGGGTTTCATTGAAAGCTTATGTTTTTTCCCTCCAAAAACTGTTAATTTTTATACGATTTTAGGAAATAATTCCAACCAATCTACCTCCAAGAACTAAACTTAAAACAATGAAGAAACATACGTTTTTTGCTAAAAACTGTTTTATTGCAGAAATTGTAAAAAACTGGTTCTTCATCTGGAGAAATAAACCGTGAGGAGAAATTTTTTTAAATCTTTTATCAATATTTTTTTAAACTTTTTATGTTTGTACAGGATGCTAGCTTTCCTTTTCGGCCTTCCATTGGTAATTACGTTACTTTTTAACATAGCCATCGGTCATAATCCCAAAGGGCTTGGGATTGCCGTGATAAACCGCGAAACACCGCATGGTGCTTTAGATTGTGCAATCAATCCAGGGATGGGGTGTAATTTTACATATCCGATGAGCTGTTTATTCATACAAAAACTTCATTCTTCAGGACTAACACTTGTTAGTAAAAATAATTAATAATTAAATTAATTATTATAATATAAAAAAAATGATTAGATTTTTAAAAATAATATTTGTCTCTTAGGTACCATTCGATGATTTGGATACTGCCAAATATGCCGTTAAAAGAAATTATATTTGGGGACTCGTAGAGATTCCTGCCAACTACACTCAGAGTGTGTTGGAAAGGTTAATGTTTAATTTGAAGACGAAGGATTATGCCATCGATCACGGAAGTGTCAATGTTTGGTTAGACATGTCCAGTAAGTCATGTACTTTATTTATTTGTTTTTACAACTATTAAATTATACCTTGAAATATATTTAGATCAAAACATTGGAACTATGTTGAAAATCAATATACTCGACGCCTATACGAGATTTATGGAAGAAATGTTTCGAGATTGCGGCTGGCCTAAAAATTCAATTGGTATTCCAATGAAGGTGACAATAAAAATAGTTTGTTTTTCGATAATATGTTTTGATATTTAACTTATAATTTCCCACAAAATTGATGTGTAATCTTATTTTTGTCTTTTTAGTATTATGAACCCGTTTATGGAGAGAAAATTGCAAATCTAAATCACTATGCAAGCCCAGCCATTATTCTTTTGTAAGAATTGTTCTTTTGTTCTGTGTGTTTATGGCAGTAAAAATATTACATTTTTTTTAGGTTGATATTTTATCTTCCTATGTCATATACAATAGGTGTATTGGTTCAAGAAAAATTACTAGGCGTTTTAGAGAGAAGTTTAGTCGCTGGTAAACATTACTACTTAATATTACTTGTTAGAGAAAAACGCAGCATGATAATGAACAGAGAAATTTTATTTGCAGGAATAACATTGACTGAAGTGTTTATATCTCACACAGTAATTCAGATAATAATTCTTACTTTTCAAATGTCAATTGCTATGACAGTCCTCTATTACATTTTTGAAAGCCCATTTATAGGAGACCCTTTTACAACAGCATTCCTTTTATTATTGCAAGGAGTCAGTGGAATAGCTTTTGGCAAGTGTTTTGATCCTACAAAAAAACATTATTTGTTATTTATTTATTTTCCTTTGCAGGATTTTTGGTGGCGATGTCTTTTGATAAAATGCTCCATGCGACTTTCGCCAGCTTGGGCAGTGTGTTCTCGTACTTCTTTTTATCGGGTCTGGTTTGGCCACAACAAGGGGCTTATTTTATTTTACAATGGTTCAGATGGGTTGTTCCAGTGTCGTATTCGGTTGAAGCAATGAGAGCTTTGACGGCCAAAGGTTGGTCTATAACCCACCCCTTGGTGATTAAAGGATTCGTATCCGTTTCTTCGTGGATTGTCATTTTCTGTCTCATGGCTCACATTGTTTTAAAAATGCGAAAGGGAAATTTTGGGACACAATAACAAAACAAGCCAAATTTAGAATTGTAAAAAAAATTACCCACCTGTACATATTTTTGTAAATATATTTCTGTAGCAGTACAAACTGTTAGTATGTAAAATCTGTACATTTATTTTGTGATAGACTAAATAATTTAAATTATTCATTTTACACTTTTATAAGGCAAGACATTCCATGTTTACTACTTGCTGGCATAAATTTTATTTTTTTGTGTAAATAAACTTTCGAAAATATATTTGCTCAAATTTAAATAAATAAGTCAACTTATTTTGTGATTTAGTTTATATTGACTTTGTTATTTATAAAATGTATTAGTATGCATATAGCTTACTTAATTTCCTAAATTAGAAAAATAAATGTTTATAATTTAATCGTATTAATAATTTCTTACCTAGATTCATTTTTTTTTGTAACACTCATTTATAAGTGAGTGCTATACTCTTTGTCGTGTTTGGGAATATTAAACGGATATGTGTCTAAGTTAGATCTTTGTAGTGGCGGTAATATCTTTTGATGGGGCATTTTCCCTCCAATGTTGTGCTTGAACAAGTGCTCACTCTGAAAAAAAAAAAAAAAAAAAAATTATATAACGGTTACCATACTTACAACAATAATTCGTATTTTACAAAAAAATCAATTGGATCATGTGGATTTTCAGTCGCTGTCTGTATCAGAGCATCTGTTATGTTGCTGAAAAGGAACCTATTGAGGAAATAGCCATAAGGAAGACACTTGTCAGCCAATTCTTTCATTTCTGAAAACACCTCCTTGGAAAATGGGTCATCCTTTAAACAATAATGAATAAAATTAAATAAATAAATTGTCAAAATATGTTATAAAAAAAAAGTTTAAATAACCTCAAATTGTATATTATTTTCTTTGATATCCACTTTACTAGATTTTCTAAGTGCGGGTTCTTCTATCCCTGGTGTAGGTGCATGAAAGATTCCTTGGTGATTATATTTGCCCCCTATATTTTTGTTAATTAAAAAAAGTAATAAACATCAATACATACATAAATTAATATATTATTTTAGCCTTTCATAAAAACTGTAAAGGCAGCATTAGTATTAGTTGTTTTGCAAGGATGGCTTTTTTGTAAAAGTTAATCATGCAATTTGTAAGTTTCCAATCATTTTGGTCTGTCTATTCTTTCTAGGTTAATCTGTCTAGGTTAAATCAGATTTCTTTTTGAGGTCTGCTGGCTGATGGATCTGCAGCCTGGTCATTTACGATCATTTTAGCTCAAACCTGGTTGGCCAGGCAAAATGACAAAATGTGTTTGATAAATAGATCAAATTAAATCAATACATCCAAATAAAATATTGTTTTTTTTCTATATTCTTTGCTTCTTGCAATAAGCAAGAACAATGTGTTATGTTATGGTTTTCAACCTTAATCATAACTTTAACCTCTTATACATCCAGAAAATGCACTCTTCCTACTTGAGGAAGGACGCATTTAAGACAATTGGATGATGGAATCCAAATGGTTTAAAGAGATTAATTGAAAAAGTGTATTGTAGCAGGATTGAAAATTTACTATGTTTACGGATTTGGTGAATAACAGAAAAATTCTACTGCATTGGTAGAGAAGTGGTACAGGTGGTTCTGTTGAAAAGATTGGTTAGGAAGACTATATGCAGGCAAAGATGAAATAACATACGTCGTCACTGTCAAAACAAAGCATGGTAATTCAGGCAATTACAAAATTAGCCCCCCCTACTTCCTGAAGAAGAGTCAATCCACCATTGAAATCAATTGTAACACCAATTATAACCAATAACAATAACAACAATGGTGAAAAAAAACTTTTTTGGTGGGCGGTATGTTCGGGTTTGAATAAGTACATTCATTTTATTATTTTTACAGTCATTTTTTAATTATTTAATAAATCATAGTAATTCATTTTAGTTTAAAAAAAATGTTAAAAGATGGAAAAGCGGTCAGAACGCGATAAGAACGCTGTTTATGAACTGTTAATGCTCAGGCAGTAAACACGGTCTAAATTGTGAAGCGATTGGGAATGGGATCGAGTTAGTTCTGATCCAGAGTTACTGCCTGCTGATCTCTCTTTTTGAGATTTTTTAAATTTTTTTATTATTATTTTTTATATTTTATTTTTATTTTTTTTAAAGCATGGATAGTTTGTAAAGGGCTGAAAGAGTAATAGGGTCAAATCCAGGAGCTTTCACAGGTTACAGTTCAATACTCAATAATGAAAGGAGTAAAGTGTTTTGAGGGAAAGAGTAAAAAGTAAAGTAAATCCTGCTACACAGGAGGGTTTAACATGGGTGTTGCGGATGAGGGGTCAGAACCACTTTAAAATATTTTTTACAAATTAATTTCAAATAAAATTTCAATTTTAAATTGCAAGGGCTATGCCAGGATTTGAACCCAGAACTGCTAGCATGGTAAATGCAATACAGACAATGACCACTCAGCCACTATGTTCCTTTCGAGGGAGAGTAATGAAATATCAGTACGAATATTCTTGAATTTCCTTTTTCCAGAATTTAACGGTTAAAATAAAGAGGAAGAAAATCGTATAAAAATAATATGTAACAAACCATAATCTTCTGGTTTTCCAAGAAGGAAATAAATATGTTTCAGAATTTGTGAGACTGATTCTCTGCTTGTATCAAAAGTAATCGGTAATATTGATGTATTGGCAGTGAAAAAATCCAAAGTAGACTTTATCTTCACAATATTATGCCTAAAAGAAAGTATTAATGAAAATTATATGTAGTAGGTAGTAAAATATATAATAAAATTTAAATTACTTATAAAATTCCAAGTGCTGAAATTTATCCATGTACTCTCTTTGAAAACTTTTTGCCTGTTTTGTGACACAATCCTTCATGCATGCAGAAGACTTTTTAGCAGTGTGGAACACATAATCTTAAAATGTTTAAAAAAAATTGTTAAATTTTAATTGAACTGTAGCTCTAGATAATAAAATTTGTTTACTTGGCAATCGTTCATAATGGCCAGCAAATTTTGATTCTATAACTTTTTCTTTTTCAGGCTTCTCTTTGTCTCCTCCTTGTTTTTTCAGGTCTTTATCTTTTGATTCAGGTGGCTTTTCATCAGTACCACCAACTGGAGAAATTAATGCATTTATAATGATTTTATTTGTTACATTCAAAATTTATAATAAAAATATGGCCTGTTTATTTATCCTTACGTCCTTGTGTTCTTGTAAAAATTATTTCTGCTTCCACTTCCGTAGCAGGAACACCGTCGAGTATGTAACCGGTAAATTTTAAAATCGGATGTTGCAAAAGTTCATGAACTATTCTGAAACATCTCAACCATTAGAATGAAATTCTTTCGAATTCTTTTATTCAATTTTATTTACTCAGCAACAACTTCAAGTCTAGCTGGGATCAACGTTCCCGGAGAGGATTTTATAATTTTTTCATATCGCAGTAAAACACTTTTTGCATCGTACAACAAACTTTCGGGCCCTTTCATTTTTTCTGGCTCACCCGTCTGCGTCTCGGACAAGTATTCGTGCAATTTAAGATTAAAGTTGTAGCTTTGACTTCTTAAAGGGTATAAAGATTTGTTTCTAAGCAGGTACCTTCTGAATTCTCTTTGCTGAAAAATAAAATTAAACAATTAATATTAATTCAGGCAAATAAATAAGTCTGGGAGTGGAGTTTTAAAGAACACTCATACTGTAAATAATTTTATTTTTTTGAGCTGTGTTTGTCAGTGTGTGTTGAGAAAAACATACAACTGGCTAATCCCTACAGTTACCAATTTAAAGGTAATTGTTAAAAAAATTATAATGTAACAACTTTCTGAAAGTGAACAATTAAATAAATCCTGTTCATTTGTATATCATGTAATGAAAGTTTGAAAATAAAATATGATTATTATTTTTTCCAATGCCGTTGATTAAAAAATAAATAAATAAAATAAAGTATAATTTAAAAAAGAAAAAAAAGAAAAGAAGGAATAAGAAAAAAAGGGAAAAATTTAAATAATTAATTTATATTTTATTATATTAAATTGTAAGGGGTGTGCATTGAATGAAAGCAGGACGAAACTCATTTAATATATTTTTAAAAGGGAAGAGATTACTTTTACTTAAATAAAACAACTTAATCCTCTAGAGGGTTGGCGTGAACAATTATTATTATATTATAAATTTATTTAAATGTGCAGAACAACAAGAGTAAGTAGAATTTGATAGAATTGTAAAAAAATTTAAAAATAAAATAAAATTTATTGTATTTACCCATGCCAAGAGTCTTAGAACATTAAATCTGTTCATTTTGTTTTTACCCATTGTGTATCGAAATTTATCTTCAAACGGCTTCCTTGTATCACCTAAAGCCAATACTATATCCTGCATCCTCATCTAAAAGTATATGTTTGTATGAAATCTTGTCGATTATTTTAGAATAAACCAATAATGCTTACTACAAGTTTCAAAAGGATAAAGACAGCTTTCGAAGGATTTATGTACGTTATGCGATAATGCTTTGATAAGTCCATTGATATTTTCGTCTGGTCGAGTGAAAATGGCCCAAAAATGACTATCCTCAACGGCTAAAAAGCGAGTCTGGGATTTATTGAATTATGGCAAAAGATACCGACCAACCTTTGCGCTTCCATTCTCGATGTAATTAACCATTGAACAACCGCCTTCGTGCATAAAGCCAGTATTGTCAACCCACCCAGAGGCACCCGTCAGGTAGGAAGGATAGATGTAACATTCGCTTGACATAATATCCAACGCACTTTGCTAATTTTTTTTTTTTCATTTATGTACAATATGTAAAAAACAATAAGCAAGCTACTAACCGGTATACCAAAGGTTTTATTAAAGCAAAATGGAACAATTTTTGTATAATTTTCCGCAATACTTTTCCCCATGACCTAAAGTAAATTATATTGTTTAATTCCATTTTAATAGTACAAATAAATTTAGTAGTAATTAATTAACATATTGATAAAATTTATTTTTACTTCCAATATTTGCTTTTGTGTCACTGGCTTCTTTTCAGCTGCCACTATGTATGGTGTGAAGTAAGGAAAGTTGCGCAGCAAATATAAAATCAGTCTGAAAACAATTTATATTAATTGAATATCTAAAACCTAATTTGTATTAAATTTTACCTTGCAAGTTCGGCCGAATGAAATGTATTAATAAGGTTTTTTCCAGGGCCAAATATTGGCAGAAAAGTTTTATTTTCCCTTGCAAGGTCAATGTAGCTGTTAAGATGTCCTCCTCCTGGTCCGTATACCAAACCAACTCCAATGATCAAAATTCTCATGATGTCTCTATACTAAAATATTGAAAATACATCATAAACATATATTAAACAAATAAATGATAAAATTAAAATAAAAAATTTATAACTTGATAAGATTTATCGTGGACGTAATTTTCAAAGTCGTAGTGTTTTTTATATCTTGGATGTGGTAGCCGTTTAGGGAAATATTCTTCTCTGACAACATTTTCAACAGCAAGCTGAAAAAATCAAAATAAAGATTCCTATTTAATAGCATTTGTCAGATAAGAACTCACTTTTTTCAGGTCCTTACTCTCCCCCCAGGTAAGTACTGGTGAAATTAGAAAGTATGTGTGTATACCAAAGAAAGATTGTATTTTCTCTCTGTATGCTTGATTCGTCGTGGACAATGTTGAAGTAAGCACTTAAAAAAAATCTATATGTAATGCAATCATGAACGTATAATATTAAATTATTAAGAATGGTTCGTTGTATAAAAATTGTTTACAATCTAGAACGGCTTTTGCTTCATCTATATCGGCATCTTCCCTGGTGATGTCAAATATAAATGTTGTACAGGTGTATATGTGGTCTTTGAATTCCATTGGATTTGTTGGGTCAGGACATAGATATTTTATTATTTTTCTCACTTCTGGTTTAAGTTTCTAAAATAGATTATGTAACTACTAAATTGTATTTTTATTTTTAAAAAGATTTTTAAAAACTTACCTCCAAGTTTTTTCTATTTTTGATACTCATCGAAGCATAAATTTCATAAGATGGTTCTACAACAGCCAAATCTTTTTGATAGAATTCTATTGGTTTATTTTTTATCGGTTCATTTAAGTACTCCTGAATTTTTTTATTCACAATCAGTTCAACAGGAGTTTTCTTCTCGGGTAATTTCTCTTCTTCTAGGACCAAAGGTGCAGTGATTTGTGGTGGCTGTGGCATGTACCTGGTATAATACCAGAACTTTTTTTTCAGACAAGTTTTCAGCTCTTCAGAAAATACGTAGCCTTTATTTCTTAATGCCTTTGCTTTTTCTACATCTAGAAAAATATTTAATTGATAATTTTGTGTACTATAACAGTGAAGTTGTAGGTTATTTAATACCGAACGGTAGGATTTGCTGTGCAGTCAATCTCTTTTCTTCGAGATGTGCATAATCGACCAACCAATCATATCTCTTATGGCATTTCGGCCTATGAAGAACATGGATAGGCCATAGCTTCTGGAATACTTTTCCAACTTGCCTCTTGGTCAAAACAACTTGCTTCTGGCCAATCGGAGGACTCTTTTTTTTCCTCTAAAATGAAAAAATATTTTTATCGAAATTTAGAAAAAATACTAATTTTACAAGCAAAAGATTTGTAACTTTTCGAGAGGTTTTGCTGCTCGCTCTTCTGCTGCTCGCTCTTCTGCTGCTTGCTCTTCTGCTGCTTGCTCTTCTGCTGCTTGCTCTTCTGCTAGCGCCCTTTTTACTACTCGCCCTCCTGCTGCTTGCCTTCCTGATGCTTCCCTTCTTGCTGCTCGCCCTCCTGGTGCTTGCCTTTTTACTTTTTCTTCTTTCACCACTACTTGCCCCCTTGCTGCTCTCTGGTTCACTGGGTTCACTCTTTTCACTATTTTTTGCACTGCCTTCTTTCATAGTGCCTTTAGAATCACCACTTTTCGATCGCTGGCTTTTTATTGACTTTTTCCGAGAAGAGCGTTGTGATGATTTAATATCCTCTTCATCGGATGAAGAAGAAGATGTTTCATGAGCTGGGATATTTCTTTCTTGAAATTTTTCAAGAACAAAAACCTTAAGATAATTATTTATTAATAAAAACACTAGATATTGTTGCATTTTTGTTCAATTAACAGACCTTCGCTAACTCTTGCGGAATAAATTCATCGATATCATTAAGAAAAATTCTAAAAGATACTATTGGTCTTTTTTTCATTATTTCCTCCGCTGCTTCTTTGCATTCTGTCATTTCTCTTGGGTATATGTATTTCCCTTGAACTTCACCAAACATCTCCATGTTGAAGTCGGATTAAAATGAACTTATAGAAACCTAAAGAAAGTAGTTTATTATATATAATATTTTTTCATATTTAAAAAAAAAAAATCAAATTCTATTTTTTTCAGATGGTTAAGAAAGTGAGCTGTTTCCACATGGTTCAAACCAACATCATAGAACATGATTTGACCCATTTTGAAGAACTAGCACAGGTCAAATTTAAAAGAGCTACATAATAATTTTATTTTATTTTGTTTTGAACTTGTTATTTATTCTGTTTTTAACCCAGAACAATTCTCTCCTATTCCACCTCAGGTGAACACGCTTTTCCCCTAAATTTATTTTGAATACCTTCAACTTTTTTAGAGCAGCATTTTGTGCACATTTTTCCATACAGATTCATTGCATTAGCCCTAGATACAGGACCTCGTTTTATTTTTTCTAAAAGTTAACCCCCAGTTATATGGTCAATTTTATTTTATTTTTTTAAATTTTTCAACACAAGCATTCTACAAAAAAATAACATTAGCTCTTGGCTAAATTTAGAATTGACGAACATATCCTGGAATGCGTTACTCACTGGTCTTTTTATGTTCAACTTTATCCTGTGTCTTTGATGGAGTCTTTTCTTTTTTCTTGCTCGCTGTCTTTTCTTTCTGGGACTCTGGTTTCTTTTTCACAGCCGGTTTCCTAGTACGAGGCTCAGGCTCAGGCTCACCGCTTGTGAGAGAGAGAGGGGCATCTCCATCCCCTCCTGCTTTCTCCTGCTTCTTTGATCGGGTGTTTCTCTCTTTTTTCTTCTTGAGGTTTTTATCTTTCTGGCTGCCCGGTTTCTTCTTAGCTGCAGGCTTTGTGATAGTGAGTTCAGACTCTTTCTTAACCACCGCGGCATCTCCATCGCCTCCCTCGACATCAGACAATTTTCTCTTCAGTTCGAAGCTCTGTTCACGCTCGGACGATGGATTCTCTTCCATGAAGAGATTGGCTTCGTCTCTCTGGCTTGATGGATTATTTTATCCAGCAGCTCTGCTACTTCTCCCCTTCTTTACCTTACCTTACAGTGGCGAGCATCGTGTCAACACTTTAACCATTGCGACCACCGACGCCCTCCTTACAAATTCTTTTGTAGTAGTTTTACATATCAGTTCATACTTTTTTTTCTTACGACAGTTTGCAACAGCAGATCTCATATACCCTCAGGGTGCCGGTGTTTTTGAAAAAAAAACCCACTTGTAAGTATGTCGGGTTCGAATGCAGGGCCACTGGATTCGAACCCGGAACCTTTACCTTACAGTGACGAGCGCTGTGTCAACGCCTAAACCGTTGCGGCCACCGACGCCCCCATCTGTTCATAACTGTATGAGCTAATGATTCTTAAGAGCTGATTTTTATTTTTTCAATTTTTAGTAAGATAGAATTTCATGCTAAGATTACAAAATTATAAAATTGAAACATTTTTGACTAGTGGCCAACACTTATTTAAAGAATATAAAAAAAAGTGTCAGGATTTTTGATATAGCAAAGAATTTGACATACCTAAATTATTTTAAATAATTATATTTAAACACCTTTCTTTAAATATGTATTGATGAAAATCAACATGGTTTTATGAAACTCACTAACTTGCTGTCTATCTGTGTATTTTTTGACGCATTTATGGCTGTGCTGATTGTTTATATACTGACTTCAGTAAAGAGTTTGATCACGTAAATCATAATATTTTGTGCAGTAAGTTTGAAGCTATAGGTGTACCTGGTAAATTACTAAAATGGCTTAGGGTCTATCTAAGTGGTAGAAACCAGGGAATCAGTCAGGACATTTGTCGCCATTATGTTCAATATTTTTATACAAAATGTTGCCAAATATTCTGAATTGTGTGAGTTCAGGCTTTTTGTAGACGACTGTAAATTCTTTAGAGGACTGTGTGCTTCAGCAAGGGTTCTCAAATCTAGCCAATTGGAGTGATATGAATGGCATGTCCCTAAATATCGATGAACGTAAAATTGTGTTATCATAGAAAATCAAATCCCATTAGTTATAAGTACAAAAATGCTAAATTGTTGGCTTTAAATAATATTAAGGATCTTGGTATAATTTTTGATTCAAGTCTCTCTTTTGTTTTACATATTGAGACGACTAAATAAATGTTTAAAATTGCTTGGTTTCTTAAAGAGAAATACAGTAGGATGTATGAATTTTCATATTATAAAAGTTTACTTATTACTTATTTTTAATAAGGCCTATTCTGGTGTATAACTCAGCAGTTTGTCACCTTATTATATAAAATATGTTCAGAGAATAGAAAGTGTGCAAAACAGATTTTTCAGGTTCAAGCTTGGCCTAAATTTGGAATCTGTTTCTTATAATGACTTTAGGTTTTTTAATTTTTTTTTTAATGAGGGTTCACAACAACAGAGGTCATATAAACCCTCAGGGTGCTGGAGTTTTTGAAAATTGGTAAGTATGTCGGGTTCGAATGCATGGCCGCTGGATTCAAACCCAGGACCTTTACCTTACAGTCATGAGCGCCGTGTCAAAGCCTAAACCATTGCGGCCACTGATGCCCCTGTACTATTGCCGTAATGTTTTTTCTCATGTAAATTTTTAGCATGTAAAGGATTTACAATAATAATCCATGTGTTTTCTTAGTGGCCGGTTGTTTAATAATTTCTTGGATTCATGAGTAGCAGTCAAGAATGGGGAAGTTTACAAAAACACCTTTTTTCATTTTTTTGCTGATGTTTCAACCTTTATTTCGGTCATCTTCAGAGCCTGGGTGAATTAAAAATGTATGTTGATTGCAGAAATACAATACAGGTGTAAATACAAACTTTGAAACCAAGTATTTCATACTAACATAAAGTGTGGTGCTATTATTTATTCACATCTGTATTTTTTCCAATCAACATACGTTTTTTAATTCACCCAGGCTCTGAAGATGACCCGAATAAAGGTTGAAATATCGGCAAAAAAATGAGAAAAGGTGTTTTTGTAAACTTCCCCATTCTTGACCACTCCTCACTAACTCAACAAATTAATAATATTATAATTAATTCATAATTGAAATTTACAAAGATTGAATTAATATTTTTAAAAAATTCCTTGTATCAAATATCTTCAACAAGAAAGCAGACAGAGGTGTTAAAAATTGGGAATAACCTCAAAGGCCCCCACTTAAGTTGTTGATGAACATATGTACTTCATAAAAGCATTGAAAAGTTGGCAACGTTACAGTTTGTTTCACATTGGTAAATAACTTATGTTGTACGGAACTTTTAGGAAGAATTAAATTCAATATACCTTATAAAAGAACAAGATACACAAAGTTGTTTTATGCTCCTATTAGCAAAACAAATTACATGGTCAACTCTCCGATGCATAGAGTGGAAACACTGACGCTAAGCGCTCTTTGCAGGAAGTGTGTAAAACGAAAAATAAAAAAGACCATCCCTAAGAAAAGTTAGTCACTTCAGTGTAGCGTTTGTCCTGTTTGATAACCATTTTTATTTAACATTTTGTAAACACTATGTAATAAAGGATGTCATTGCGTATTTAGTTTTTAATTTTAATCATCGTGATCATGAATCTAGAACGACTTAATAAAAAGACGCAATGAGCTAATAACGTTCAGTTGAATCTATTTAATAATTCATTGCATTCTATATCCTATACATAAATACATACATATATTTATGTTTATGTATGTTATATTTATATCTATGCTATTTATATACATATATATTCAAATTATATATATATATTTAGGAAGAATTAAATTCAATATACCTTATAAAAGAACAAGATACACATAACTCCGCCACACCTAACACTTGGTGGAGTGAGGGCGGGAGACTTAGACGGTGNAGAGGATTATATTGGCTGCTGGGGCAATAATAAAATATTAATTCTAACATGCTCACTAACCTGACTGCCAGCAGAGAGAGTTGATTTACCATTTGTAAATCCCTCCTGGAGAAAGAAAAAAATTAAGAAACGAGAGAATAGTAGACAACTTACATAAATAGATGTTATATAAATGAAATTTACCCTTTGAAGGCAACAATCCTTTCCTTGAAACAGCTACAATGAACCAGCTAACTACACAGTGTTCAACTCTCACGGAATAACTTAACGCACTGTTTAAATAGCACTTCGTGAAAATGTAGGAAAAACATACAAAAACGGCACAACACCACCTAGAAAAGAAAAACACAAGAAATGTATAAAACTTACAATAAATGAAATATAATGTACAATGACAATCAGATTACAGAAAAATTGTATTAAATAATGACTATAACATACAAAAAGGGCAGAATATGATTTCTTGTACTAACGCTAACTAGAATCTGAATCTCCATATAAATAATTTTACAAAATCTTATGTAAGTTTTGTTTGAACTTTCAACAGGAATCAACTTTTGGTCAACCAATAAAATGTACATTTTTACTTACTTTACTGTCAGAATGATACATTATCCACTTTGCCATAGTACATGTTATTATTATAAAAAGAACTTATTTCAAAATTAAAGAAAAAAACTTTGACTTTATATTGTCAAATTCTTTTGTTGTAGGTGCAAAAATCGGTTTTTAGTGAAAAGAGCGAAGTGATTGAAATAAACAGCTCCATTTATAATTGTTTTTGTTAATAATCATTGAAATAATTTGTTCAAATTGAAAATGTTGATACAAGTATAGTTGGGGTGCATATTATACTGCGCCTTTAAAAGCTATTGTATTTTAGGTTCAAATTTGGTATCATTAACATAAATTGCAGAGGAATAAAGTTAACTATTCACTGGTACTACAACCTCTTGTCCTTTTTAAAAGGATATTCAACACAAGTGTTAAAGTTTTTTTAAATCTTGTAATTCCACCATAAATTATCAGGTATGAGTAGAAAAAGTATCAAATATCCTTGTAATACCCTGACTTACTTTGCTTCTTGAATTTCAGATACTGAAAGGATGCCCACCGTTCAATAACATCATGGATTTATTGGTCAATGTATATCAGTTCTGATGACGATTTTATTGGAAAGAGCAAAGTGCTTGAAAGCTCCATTTAGAATTGCTTTTGTTAATAATCATTGAAATAATTGTAAATATTGTCTATATTAGAATAATCTATCATGTAATAAATTCTGTCCCACCTTTTTAAATATGTTTCAAACATCTTCAATAAGCAACTAGGACTCTGATTGTTTTGTGATTTGTCAATATATCTGCTGTGTTTATAAACCAACAGTCTGTAATAATTTGTTTATGTTTATTCCTATGGAAAGTTTGATAAAACAATAGGCAAAGTGTCATCTTCATTAGTTTTTCCAAGACAGGAATCCTGCAGGTGAGGTTACATTCACTCAAGAAAACCGAGAATTTTTTTAAATCAAACTATTTAAAAGATAAGCTCTAGTGAAATTGGGGAAGGGAAGATCTGGGGTAAACTTTTCATGCAGGACATAGCAGAGAATATGTCATCCCTGTTTGACCTATTCTTATAAACGTGACTACGATACCTCTTCACCTATTCAGATCATCCTAGGGCCCCCTCCCCAACTAATCGATGCTCTATTTCAATTTAATCATCTTTTAACACATTTTCGGAATCTAGGGACTGGATTGTAAGGTTAATTTTGAAAATAAGGACCCTGGTTTTCTTCCATTACTTCTAAATTTTACTCTGTACTTTGTGATTTCTAAATTTGTATGCCTTCCATATGAAATAGAGTATCTGTCTGTCAACCTCCGATGACCTATTCTTAGTTGAGTGAGAATATTCACTCTTTGCCTATTTATATCTGACAACTGAGTTCTTCATACATGTGTGCTTCTGTGCCATTTAGCCCACCAATTTCAATTTAATAATGTTTTTAATACATCAATGGAGGGCCAGAACGTGATGGTCAGTTCTGAAAATTGGGATGGCCCTGCCTTAGCCAGTGAGTACACACAGTATTAATAAATCAATCAATAAATAAATTAGAACAGCCATAACTAATTTTTTTTTTAAATCCATATATGTTTAGCATTCATTATTGACTGTTATGACCCACGACTTTCGGCTCAATACGCCGCTACCTAACCACTTGAGCTACTGACTCACGAAGTCACGAAAGCTCAAGTGGTTAGAGACTTGAAATCCCTCTCATATCACTAACTTTTTCATCTCTACCAAGATCTTAGGTATAATTTATAAAATAATTATGTGTTGCAAAAATGAACAAAAACTATATAAAAATCAAGAAATTCGTAAAAAGTTCGAAAAAGTATGTGTTTTCACCAGTTTTTGGATGTTCACCTACCCGGGGAGTTGGAGTAATAATGTATTCGACTATTGCTACTAGGACTCAGATACCGATCGCTCCAGAAATTGTACCCAAAATGTAAAAAAAACTTTTTAAAACATGTGAACCAACCTGAAATACTTAAAGTAAAGTTGATGTTTTAAACGGCTTTTAAATTTTCACGAACTGGTGGAGTTGTTAGTTACAAGTTTGTGTCTCGATGTATTAGATTATTGCTACTAGATCAGAGATACTAATCTTATATATCTACATATCGTAATCGTAAATATCTGAAGGTGCCCTTACATTATCAAATGTTCAACAAAGTGGCACACAATGTTGCATGCATCACCCCTATATTTCAGTAAATTTTTGTTGAAACTTTGGGAATTGTATGACCACCATGTCCCCAATAGCTATTGCATCAATTATTAAGATTAGATAATAAGATTATAATTCCCTCTTGATTACAAAAATTATTTGAGGATGGATTCTAATATTTGCGTAGAACTTTGGTAAATGGTATTTCCACATATGTATAAACAAGAGACACAATTAAGAGCATCTATCAAGAACGCCAGTCAATAATGGAAAATAATGCACAACATGCACCTTCACGACCCAAACTGTACAAAAGATTTGAGACATTTTTGAAACTAGTCAATCATTTGTGCAATGCATCAAACACTGCCATTCATTGGCAAATTATTGTGCAACAGCATATGATGCGCAATTTATTTGAAAATGTCCCTGCCTTAACTGGTGAGTAAACCCAGCATTAATAAATTGATCAATCAATTAGAACTGACAAACACTAATTTTATTTTTTAATCCATATATGTTTAGCAGTCATAATTGACCGTTATGATCCATACCCTTCAGCTTAATACACCACTGCTCTAACCACTTGAGCTATTGTGACTTCGTGAGTAGATATTTCAAGTGGTTAGAGCAGCACTCATATTGACCTGAAGGTTGTGTTCTAACCTAACTTGCTCACGACACTAACTTTTTCATCTCAACCAAGGCCTTAGATAAAACGTGTTATTTGTCAATAGCTCAAGAGGTTAAAGCAGCGGCGTATTGAGCCGAAGGATGCGGGTTCGAAACCCACACGTAACACTAACTTTTCCATCTCACCAAGGCCTTAGATAAAACGCTAATTAATTGAATGTTTTTAGTGTTGCGAGCGAGATTCGAACTAATGACCATTGGTCTATAAAAAGTATAATTAATTGAAATAATCTCATTATTTATTGATAATCATAAAACCGACTTGCTCCTCTTGAAAAAATATTGGATTTGTCGGTAATCGAAAATGAAATTTTATCTAAGTCACCAGGCGATCCGGAGAGGTTGAACCGACTTGCAATAATACATCCAACAAATCAATATTTAAAACTGGCGATGATTGATAAATTATTTCATTAACGATTTTTCTTTGATTCCAACGAAAAAGCAGATTTTAATAATGAAAATAATCATAATATTCCGAAATAAAAGCCCACCGTAAAAAAAGTCGAGTCTGGACCGTCAGTTGTTGCCTGAATCGCCATGGAAATGGCGGGAAACGGCCCATGATTCAAGAACACCTCCAAGTAAATAAAAAATATTACATTCTTTAAAATACTTTCTAAAAATAATAGCACAGAAACTTACGGAATAGTTAAGAATTAATTATTTATTTTTAAACTCAAATAATTATTCAAATTCTAAACGGAGAATCATCGGCCTATCCGATCACTGCCAGCTTGAACAAGTATCTTCTAAAAGTACTAAAGTATGATTAATTTTTTTTTTTAAATCGGGCTTAATTTAAAAAAAATTAGTTACAATATTCGGTTGTTGTTATTTTAAATTTTTTTTCAATATTTAAATTAATTTGTGAGAAAATTATATGATTAATTGTCAGTTGGTGAAGGGACTGGGAAGTAATATTCCCGCCAATCGCCCTCTTTGCCTCGTGGCGGCCACCGGTTCGACATCACACTTTCAACCTCGAAAAAGGTATTTATCATTTTTGACATTTATTAGTTTAAAAAGTCTAGGTCTTTCTTTTTTTAAACGAATTCCATTGCAAATAGTCAAT